ACAAGTCAAGCGCCAGATCGGCCTTGCTACTGCTGCATCAATGTCTTAAGGGACTTTTTTTTAACTTCATGCATGTCTACATGAGATAACTGAACCTGCCGCTATTGATGCTTTCGTCTTAAAAAAAAAAAAAGTTGCAAGGCAGTACAGACACTCGCAGAGACGGTTACCCAGGAAGCCTGCACCAAACAGCTTATCCTACGGCATGCCGCCCAACTCTGCCTCGCTCCTACAGTTGATGTTACTTCCCCCCCAACCGCCAGCATCGAATCGCATCGCATCACATCGCGTCGTCCCCCAGTCCCCCCCTCCGTTACCTGTCTACCCACCACCTTCCCTTACCCTACCCCCCTCCCCGCCTTCATCACTATGCCTCGAATCTAGTTATCTGAAAAGGTTTCCGCCCCCCTACCTTGTCCGCCGCCCCTTCATCCCCTGGTAAAAGAAGTCATGTATGCCCCCAAAATCATGTATCCATCTTATTCTAAAAAATTAGACCCGCTATATTGTAGAGAAAGGGTTTGATTTGGAAATAGCATTTGTCCCTTTCCTTTCCCTTCCTTTCACCATTTCCTATCCCTTCACTCATCCCTCCTTTTTCGTTTATTTCTTATATCTATCGATTTGCACCAGCGAGCATGGGTCAGAGAAGTGACACGAATGTTTTTCCTACGTATTTATGTACCGTTTCAGGGGAGTGTATGGAGAAAAAGAAAGAGATGACCGTTCCTGTTCCTGTTTCCCTTCTAATGTGTTCCCTACAAACACCCCCGTTAGCCCCTATTTGACCGACTAGACATTTATGCCCATTCCCCTGACCCCCCAATCTTCCATCTTTCGCCCATATTTATCCAATTCATCTATCGATTCCTATGTCATACATGTCCCGTCTACCGCCTACCCGCATCAAACTTAACTTCTTAATCATCCATCAGTAATAGTTAGCTCTTGACCTGCAGGCTAGTTTAAGTAGACTCGCTACTAACCAGGATGAGGCCGTTCGTAACCATAACACCAACATATCAAACTCCATGTACCAATATTAGCATCAACAATATGAATAACAGAAGATGTCTCCACGAATTCAAGTGATCTCAGACCTCCACCTAGAAGTCAACAATGAATATAGATCCTTCATTATACCCCCCGCAGCACCCTTCCTCGTCCTCGCCGGGGATATCGGCCAGCTAATAGACTACAACGAATATCTACACTTCCTCAACACCCAATGCGCTCAGTTCAAGCACGTCTACCTGGTACTTGGAAATCATGAATTCTATAGCCTTTCACGACAGGAAGGACTCAAACTGGCTGCACGTCTTGGACAAGAGACTCAACCCCACGGCAAACTAAGCATACTCAACCGCCACCGTGCTGAGCTGCCTGGCTTTCCCAACATCGTACTATTAGGCTGTACACTACAGTCCAGAATACCATATGAGTCCGTCGATGCAGTGTTGAGCCGTGTCAGGGACTTCCAGCGTATACTCGACTGGTCTATAGCGGATCACAACGCAGAGCACACGCAAGATACGGAATGGCTAGCGGACCAAATCAGGACTATTAAAGCCGAGACGGAGAATGCTACTGTTATCGTTATCACGCATCATGCCCCTTGTGTTCAGGAGAGTAGCAGGCCCGAGCAAGTGGACAATCCATGGACATGCTCGTTTGCAACGGAGTTACTTGATGGGACTACCGTATTTTCTCAGGTCCAGCACTGGATCTTTGGGCATACACATTACACTACCAGCTTCGTCAAGGAGGGAGTCAGACTTGTAAGCAACCAGCGAGGATATCACCATGCTGGTAGCCCTATAGAAAAGGGGGCTTCCATCTCTTCCCGAGAGTTTGATGTCAACAAGACCATATCACTAGACTAGTTGTAATTACCTTGTTTTCTCTCTATCTTCTCTTCTCCACTTGTCATCCTTTACCCTCCCTTCATCTACACTTTGTCTACACCTCCTTTTTTACTATCTACTCTCTGTCTCTTCCTTTCTCTCTCTGTCAGCTTTTGATACTGGAAGTTGCACGTGACTAGTTAGGGCTTTCCCGCCATGCCCTAAGTCTTGGCACGCACTCCAACTTTTTTACTTTTTTTCTCTTTTCGACTTCAACTTCTCGAACTTCATCAAGAACGACAAGAAACGCAGTCAACTTCCTCAACTTCACCAGTTTGTCACCTCGAGGTATGTGATGAGATCCTTTGCTTTGGTTTACTCGCTCGAAATGCCCTTTGGCTAGCCTGGGGAAATGCAATCATCGTGGTCGGGCCGTAGAGTGAGGCTCGGCTTCACGATGATACGCATTTCCTCTATGTACGGCACGGGCTGAAGAACCCTCTTCTGCTTCATCAATTGCTCTGGAAAATGAGTCAGTTGGCGAGTAGAAGTTATGAAAAGGGCACTCTTTGCGCTCGGAAAAGGCAGCTGAAGGCTAACTCGATCCACCCCGGTGTCTTTTTTATCTCCTCTCTCCTTGTCCGAGTCTAGTCTTGCAGGTTTGCAGGACGGTAACGACAAGCTGAGAGAAGATAAAAAAGAGAATTGGGAGTTTCTGCAATAGATACCTCATCTCCAAAACAAATCCGTTTTCGATTTGAGAATCTCAGTTCTTCAATACCGCCAAAATGGTCAAGACCAGTGTTTTGAACGATGCGCTCAACGCCATCAACAACGCCGAGAAGGCCGGCAAGCGCCAGGTCCTCATCAGACCCAGCTCCAAGGTCATCGTCAAGTTCTTGTCCGTCATGCAGAAGCACGGTAAGCTACTACTACTACTTTTCCTTCTTTGCCTCAGCGCTGTTTTCCCCCGTGTTCCCACCGTATCTCCCCTTTCGGGCTGATAACTAGGCGGTTGTTTCGATTTCAAACCCACTCTACAACGTCCGCCCTTTAAGTGTCCGATATATTGAAATATTCCATATTGGCGACGATCTTACAAGTTTCCTATCTTGCAAAGCTCGTCTTTGTTGCTCCATGATTTGCAACGTTTAATTCATCGTCACAGCACTTTACTAATCCCTCTTCTTTCCAGGCTACATTGGTGAATTCGAGGAAGTTGATGACCACCGTTCCGGCAAGATCGTCATCCAGCTCAACGGCCGGTATGCACCCAGACACAGGCCCTGATGGGTTTAGCTGATTAAGCTAACCAACAACTTTACAGCCTCAACAAGACTGGTGTTATCTCTCCCCGCTACAACGTTCAGCTCCGTGAGCTCGAGAAGTGGGTTGTCCGTCTGCTCCCATCCCGTCAGTTCGGATACATCGTCCTCACCACCTCTGCTGGTATCATGGACCACGAGGAGGCTCGTCGCAAGCACGTCGCCGGAAAGATCATTGGCTTCTTCTACTAGATTCTGATCCTTACGGCCGATGACAAAAAAATCAAAAAAAGTGTTTAATGCACCGGACAGGGTATACCATGGCGTTCATTCTTCATTTGGCGGACTGAGCGGGCGCTATACATTCTATACTACGACGTAATGATGTATCCAGTTCTTCATGACGTTACCAATCTAAGCATTCTGCTTTTTGATTAGATAGTGAGAGACAATATTTACACTCATCTAGATCTCGAATGCCATGGTTATTCCTTGTCTAACCCGTCTGCCATCTCTTTGTAATGTCTATCTATGATGTCTGCATGTCTATTGGGTATTTATACTCAAAGTTTAGTAGCTGCTCTAGGAATATCATCCCTTGATCCGGAGTCCTCCACGACTCCTGATGAGGGCATTGAATTGAAATCCTCTTCGCCATGGAAGTGCCTAGTGCGATCATTCGTTAGCAATGGGGTTAACGTCAGCGTAAATCGGAGCACATACCATCCCCTTTCAGCCCCGTTGCTGAGGTATTTGCATTCCCCATTCACAACACAATCCCAACCACCTCCAACACCATTACCACCACGCCAGCTAGACGCAACCCTGCCAGACGTCAGGCTGGATTCATCACTGCTCCTACTTCCCAGTGCACGCCGCTTAAACGTACTCATCCCTGCTGTGAACACTTTAAAGTCATCCGTAGACGAATCCTCTGGCATGTTCCCCGTCAGCGCCCGCCCCATGGCTATCAATGGCGCGGCATGTCCACATATAATAATCGCATGACTTTCCCGGGCCTTTTCCGGGTGCGTTCGTTCGTACTCTTGTATTTCACGGTCTACGTCGGCTATTACGGCGTCCAGGGCCGTTGCAACTCGGTCGTGAAGTTGTGCTATTGTCTCCCCGCTTGGGTTGGGGTATACGTGCGCGGTATACGATGGATCAATAAGGGAAGGGAATAGAGGGTCCAGGTCTTTAATTAATGCTGGCGATGGGTGTTTGAAGAAAGATGAGTATCCAAACCATTCCCTATAGCAAACATCAGTAACCTCGTCATCATATTAACTAATGCAGCTCATACCCAAGCCCATTCTCCACTCTCACACGCAAATCAACATTTTCCTTCATCTCGAATTCCCTCAGTGCATCTACCGTCGGTTGAATGGTCTGTAAACAGCGGTAGAATGGACTGCTATATATCCTGCATGGTTTTGGCTGGAACTCCGCGCTGCTCACATACGATGCAAGTTCGTGCGACTGTCTCACTCCAGGTCCAGTCAGAGTCGGATCGACGGGAATTCCGGTCGGAGTAGGGTAATGCGCATGGTAAATCCCTGTGGATAGATCTATGGACCAGTTCAGACGAAGCTGGGATGGTTTCGGCTGTTAGGAACGAAGCCGAAGAATTAGGCATAGCAAAGGACTAGACTTACGCCATGTCTCGTTAGATAGATAGTGTCTAGGGGCATTTGAGGCTAAAGTACTATCAAATAGGAAACGTCGTGCTTTACTGATTCTATATCCGCTATCTAAACAGTTGTAGCGGTAGGTTCATGGGGGAAAGAGTTGAAGAAAGAAAGGAAAAAGGATAACTAGCTATTCTGCCGATTTGAATCTCAACTGCCGAGGCCCACCGAAGCTACCAAAGTTAACTGGTTGACAAAGACAAAGAAAGCTACGGAGTACTATGGAGAATGTTGCAAGAGAGATGTCGAAGATGGATTCTTAATTTTCTATGAACTGAATCATTTGCAATTTAAATCTGGAGGAACAGGTATGCTCAGGTTGAAAAGGAAATCCGATGCCAGAACGCTGTGGAAGGGTATAACACCATTTGAAAAGGGGAAAGCCGTGACTTGCTGCACCAAGGAAAATGAACACCAAAGCCAAGTTATCAAAGGACAAGGCTATTAAAATGAAAGAAAAGGGGAGCAACAAAGTGCATGAAAGGGGGAAGTGAATGCAGAATTCTAATAATACTGGGGTTGAAGTTGGGTTTATGGAAAAGGGGAGACAGGGCGGACAAGCTGATAGCTAGATCTGGATCGCCTCGACCTCTCCACCATTGGCTTGCTCGCCAGTCACATTTGGTTCCGCAGGTGCATTGGCATCCGGGTTCTGCTGCTGAGCAGCTTGTTCTCGGTTTTCCTGCTCAGCACGTCGTTCATTCTCACGTAAAGCGTTGATTCCCTGCAGATCCACAATCTGTCGCTCGCTCACTCCAGGAATGAAAGATGAGAAGAAAAGAACAATACCTCGCGCAAGCGTCCTATGTCTTTGCAATAGCTCTGTAATATAGTTTGGACCCGCATTTTGTCTGGCACGATGTGGCTGGGCTGGACCGGGATCGGCTGGCAGTAAGTCGTGGATATGATCTTCAAGAGGGATGAAGATTGCTCTCCGGATATGACGAGGAATTTCGACTTCTGAGAGACAAGCCCAAGCGATAGAAAGGACAACGAGGAAGAGACGCAGCCAAGTCCCAGAGTCACTCAAAATGTAGCAGAAGAAATAGAGACGGACGAACAACCAAGTTGCCCGGATGGCTCGGACAAGCGTAGAGCCTCTGACAATCAAGCGGCGTCTACGAACAAGCATGCCAGGAATGTTCAGAGGTCGTTGAGTGGCAGTAGCGGTCGGCGGGAGATTGTTGTACGCCATAGCTAGTGCATTCTGTTGTACGGTTGGCTGAATGGTTGGTTGAAAAGTTGGATGTGAGGATGGGGACATGACTCCAGTCAAATTTGCGGATGCCACCCGACCATGAAACGCAGGAACCAAAACGGCCTCGTACCTCGTTGGAGAGGCTAACAAATATGCGGCGTGTCGACGATTGAATACTGTCGAGGGAGATGCGAAGGCTGTTGTTTGACCAGAATTACTCTGCGAGCTACGAGCGTAATAATGGCGGAGCTGCTCTGAACGTGAACTCAGCATTGACAAACGGGCGAGCCACCCCCGTAGTACCGGAACACTGTGATTGGGAGCGTCAAATAGTCTCATGAGCTGATCCCGGACCACTGATATCTCGTCCTCTCTCGGGATGGGGCCTCTTGGTAGCCGAGCTTCCATCGAAATAATTTCTGTTGCTATGTGCATTACTTGGTAAGCCATGCTGTTCATGCGGTTCGGATCTGGTGCCCCTCCTGACGGCTGGCCATTCGCGGTGCCGCGTACATCTAAGCGGCTTCCTGGTGCCCCATTGGAGGACGGGTCTTGCTGTTGTGGGAATTGAATTGATTGCCGCAGATATGGGGGCGGGAAGTCTTCTTGAAGTATTAAACTCTCGTCTGGAGGAGGGTAAATATCTGAAGTTCCAGGGTCATCCACGCGCTCCGATACTCCGTCCTGTCGCGTTGTTACAGCATTAGTAGATGCTGAATCATTCCCTTGCTGGCTATAGTGCCCAGACAATAGTCTCTCCCGCATAGCTTGGGTAGTACGATATAAGTCTCTTACGGCTGCGACGGAAGCTTCGCTAGGTGGGGGAATTGTTGGGTGCGCCGGAGGAGGCAAAACAAGGTGCATCGAGTATTCAAGCGGCTAGATATGTCAGTGAAAGCGTTAGTTAGAACTTGCATATAATGAAGGGAGGTAGATATGAAGAGGGACCAAGCGTACATCAGAGGGCTCAAAAATGCGCCCTAGATTCTGGCTATTGTCTGATAAACATCTCCCTCTGTAGATAAGCCGCTGATTTTCAGGAAGCGGCCTGGATGGCAGCTCTTCCATGATTTTGGACTTCACCTCTAGTATTGTAGTAGAAAGAGGGAGGTTGTTAAACGTGAGGCGCCGCTGGGAGTCAAACGAGGGTGAGAGAATGTGTAGCACAATTGGCTGGCCATGGCTATCGGTGGGATCAGAGCCTTGTCCTAGGCCTGACATTGAGGTATTCGATGTCATCCTGACTCAAACGAGTGAAAGGGCGCTATTAACAAACTGTGTATATAGTAGCCAGATAAGACAAGTGTTCAGCCTCGGCGTGATATCACAAGCCTAGTACAGAACAACCCCGCGGAGTGTCAGGATAAGTGCATAGTAACAATATATCACTGTCTTCCTAGTGTATAGGATAGGCGTATCTAGAATGTGATATTAGGTCCAGACGTTTGCTGCTGTAGAGTCCTAGAGCGCTAGTAGTGAGAGAAGAAGTAGATCACAAACGTCACCCAGCGATTGGACAGATAAGCTATAGCTCGTGTGCTTAGCCGGCAGTAGCTAATATCACAGCTAAGAAGCAGAAATACTAGTGAAGACGGATGCACTTGGGCTATCAATCTGTAGCATGAAGTGTGAAAAAGAATGAAGTTGAAGCTGAAAAACAACTAGAAAGAAGTTAAGAAGTCGTGAATTTCCCAATTGGGCAAAGGAGGACAGCGGAGGTGGAAGAAAAATCTTCCGTGAGATTAGTAAGCTGAATTTCAGTTCAATACCTACCTAATATTCAAAAGTGAAAGAAAAGCAACGGAAGAAGTGAGAGGAAGTTGAATAGATATCCATGAAGAAGAAGAACAAATAACAGAAAACGAGACAAAGTGAGCTGCAGAAAGAGAGAATCCCTCTCACATTGAGGACAGGGAAGCGGTTTATGGGGGCCGGAACTGGCAGGAGGGACAATGTTTAGGCGCATTCCCACGGCCGGGGCCAGTCTCCGGCAGGGCTCAAGGGATGCCTTTACATACGGATTTACAGGAACCAGAGGCAGTGGGAGATGCCAATCAGTCCTACGGCGCAATTTCTCATCATCCAAACATTGGAGAGGCCAGGAGTCCGGAAAAGATGAAAAGGAGTCGTTCGGATCACGGCTGGGAGCTGCACTCCGCAAGACCAAGATCGAATGGTACCCTATTCCCGTCGGCCTTGGGGTTGCATTTCTCGGGCTTGCGCAGTTCTATAAGTCCAGCCAGGCCGAGAAACAGAAGATGTTAATGGAGACGGAGCGCGGGGAGCGGCCTCAGGAGGTTGTTCCGCGGCAGCGAGTTCGTCCTACGGGTCCATGGCAGGTCCAGGTCATGTCTACACTGCCATTGAAGCTAGTTTCTCGCATATGGGGCCGGTTTAACGAACTTGTACTGCCGTATCCCCTTCGAGTACCGGGATTTAAGCTGTATTCCTGGATATTCGGAGTGAATCTGGACGAAGTTGAAGAGTCTGATCTTCATGTATACCCAAACTTAGCGTCATTTTTTTACCGGAGGTTAAAGCCAGGCGTTCGACCTTTGGATCCCAACCCATCCGCACTCCTCTCACCTTCTGACGGACGGATCCTTCAGTTTGGAATGATTGAGCGTGGGGAGGTCGAGCAGGTCAAAGGGATGACATACAGCCTGGAGGCGCTACTGGGTCTGGGGACTGTGAGCCCAGACTCGGAACCCGTCCACCCAACTACTCGACCCATGCATAAAGTCGACGACGACACCGACCCCGAGAATGTAGCTGCAGACCAAGAGTTTGCTAAAATGAACGGGCTGAGCTATACACTGCCTACTCTTCTCTCTGGATCCACAAAACATGACGTCAGCAAGGACGGATCAATGGATGCATCGATGGAATCCAGCTCGACTTCTGAAGAGAAAGTGAAGGCAGATCTGGCAAAGGGAGAGCCGGCCTGGTATTCGCCGAGACCAACCTCCAACCGAGCACTGTACTATGTCGTGATATACCTCGCGCCAGGAGACTACCATAGATTCCACTCACCAGCTTCTTGGGTCGTCGAAAGCCGGCGCCATTTCGCAGGAGAACTATATTCAGTATCCCCATACCTTCAGCGCACTTTAGCGGGTCTTTTCACTCTCAACGAACGAGTCGTGCTATTGGGCCGCTGGCGTTGGGGGTTTTTCAGCTTTACCCCCGTTGGCGCAACCAACGTCGGGTCAATTAAGATTAACTTTGACGCCGAACTTCGTACCAACAGCCTTACAACCGACACTGCCGCTGATCGACAGGCAGCGCTTGCAGCCCAACGAGGCGAGCCCTACTCCGGCTACACTGAAGCAACGTACGGACACGCAAGTAAGACGCTCCGTGGCCATGCCTTACAGCGAGGAGAGGAGATGGGCGGCTTCCAGCTCGGTAGCTCGATAGTCCTAGTGTTCGAAGCTCCGATGGGCAGCCGTCAGAGCTTCGACGTTTCATGGACTGGTGAGCGGGAAGGCGGGTGGCAGTGGCATATCAAAAAGGGGCAGCGGATAAAGTACGGTGAGGCACTGGGTGAGGTTGTTTAAGACATGTTTGTGCATCTAACCTTCATTGTGTGTATACTATCAGCGAGTTCGGCGGTGTTTTATTTACTTGTTGGACGCAGGAACTGTAGAATAGCCATCCACCATCGTCATCGTCATCTTCTTCTTTTCTGCTTCTCTTCTTCTTACTTTCCCCCTTAGATTCGTTTCTATCATTCCCGCCGCCCCCAAGACCGCCGTCCAACGCCCTGCCTCGACCCGCTTAGTCATCTGATCGGTCTTGGCGTCCGCCGCATCAAAGAAAAATTTGTTACTTCAAGTTACTTTTTAGTGACTCCGCCGTTATCAACATCGACCAACTCACGGCCAGCCGAATTATGGTTCTTTGGACGGAGAACTGGGGCCCTGGCTAGAGACACCAATAAAGTGAGTCACCTGAAGACCCTCCAGAGCCAACGTCTGTGGATGATTCCGCTGCCCTCCGCGCTTGCAGCACCCAGCATGTCTGCGCGCATGTCGTGGTTCCTTGCTTGAAAAACCAGTCTGTCACCTCAGAGGATCCTGAAACCTTACAACTCCACGGCCATACTTACACATCGATCCTTGCGTGCCGGGTGCCGTCGGAATATGAGCTGCAATCCCGCTCCACGTTATAAGGCTAGAAACAGCCACCCGACAAGAAGAGTCCACAGTTCCTCCAGAGAAAACATCTAATTTGCTTTGAGATCCCGATTGCCAAGGGTACGTCACCACAGTGGCCAAGGAGGCCCTTGGCAGGTCTTCCGCCATGGGTAACCTTGCCACCTGGCTCGATGCTCTTTCGCTGCAGAGCGGAACTGTGGGGAAGGCGGAGGTCGTATCTGGCAGATTTGGATCTGGACATAGGGCGAGGATTTTAGCGAACTGTGGGCGGACGCTTGGCAGGTCTATGCTGATTCGACGCTAGGCTTTATCGGAATCTCTGCTACTATGGAATCATGCTTCCAAGCATGGTCGGTTTGGCTCCTAAGACAACCTTTGGAACATATTGTGGGTAAGAAGGAGGCAAGGCACCTTTTCTCCGGACGAAGTGGTGAACCGGATGAAAACCGTACTGCAAGATTTAAGAAGTCAGACCCCCCCCCCTCTCCAGTGTTTTCAGTCCGGGCCGTCATCTGTTTACACATCACTGGTACCTCTCTCGTTCATTGAGGAGAGCAGTTTGGATCCTTGATTCTTTGGACTTCTGGATATAGCCTTCTATAGTCTAGATAGGACTCAAAAAAGGAATCAACATATATTTGCCAGTTTCACTCTTTTACCAACAAATCACTGTCTGCGGCCATGGGAGAAAAAACTATTGCATCAGGCCCTGTGTCTCTCTCCCATCCAGCACACTGCCTCACAGCAGAGGCAACAACCCGGGAACTAGCCACCAATGCCGACGACGGCCTTACCGCGCAGGAAGCTAAGGCTCGCCTGGAAAAATATGGACAGAACAAGCTCGATGACGGAGAAGGCGTCTCCGTCATCAAGATTCTTATCCGACAGATTGCAAACGCAATGATGCTAGTTAAGCGGCCCATTTCATTTTGACCCCGTTAACCCCCTTTTATCAAGAAGAGCTTTGTTTGTCTGATCCAGTTCATGGAGTAGGTCCTTATCATGGCCATGGCTGTGAGTTTCGGAATTCAATCTTGGATTGAAGGCGGCGTCATTGCTGCTGTCATCATTTTGAACATCGTTGTCGGATTCTTTCAGGAGTATGCTGCTGAGAAGACTATGGATTCCCTTCGTTCGTTGAGCTCGCCCACCGGAACTGTTTCAAGAGACGGAAAGACTACCATTATCCCGTCAATTGATATCGTTCCTGGTGATATGGTTGAGCTTAAAACGGGTGACACAGTTCCAGCTGACCTTCGGTACGTCATCTTTGGCTTACCCCCCAAAAAAACTTGTATCCATCTTCGCATAGCTAACGGTTTAATGCTCGATAGACTTATTGAAGCTGTAAATTTCGAAACCGATGAGGCTCTCCTGACCGGAGAATCCCTCCCTGTCCAGAAGGATTGTGACATGGTCTTCAAGGAAGATGTTGGCCCAGGAGATCGATTGAACATTGCCTACAGTTCATCTACTGTGACCCGTGGCCGGGCCCGTGGTGTCGTTATAGCTACCGGAATGAACACCGAGATTGGCTCAATTGCCGCGGCCCTGAGGGCATCGGATAGCAAGCGTCGACCAGTCAAGCGTGGACCCAGCGGAGAAACGAAGAAACGATGGTACGTGCAGGCCTGGGCTCTGACCAGTACGGATGCCGTGGGAAGATTCCTCGGAGTCAATGTTGGAACTCCCTTGCAACGAAAGCTCTCAAAGCTAGCTCTGATCCTATTCGGAGTAGCTGTGCTGTTTGCCATTATCGTGATGAGCGCGAACAAATGGAGCAGTAATAACGAAGTCATTATCTACGCGGTTGCTACGGGCCTTAGTATGATTCCTGCTTGTCTAGTCGTGGTGTTGACAATCACCATGGCCGTTGGCACGAAGAGAATGGTTGAGAGGAACGTTATTGTTCGGAAGCTTGATTCCCTCGAAGCTCTGGGTGCAGTGACGAACATCTGTTCTGACAAGACCGGCACACTTACCCAAGGCAAAATGGTTGCGAAGAAAGCCTGGATCCCGTCAATCGGAACGTATTCTGTTGGTACTTCAAACGAGCCATTCAATCCCGAAGTCGGAGAAATCAGCCTCGATGAAATTCCACCGGTCAAGCTAGACGAGGAAAAGCTCGCACCGCCTACTCATCCCGATGAACTGCTCAAGGGCAACGCTCAGCTGGAAGAATTTCTCAATGTCGCTTCAATGGCTAATCTCTCGCACGTCTACCGGTCTGAAAGTGAAGGGAATGAGTGGCATGCCAGAGGCGAGCCCACCGAGATTGCTATACAGGTTTTTGCATCGAGATTCAACTGGAACAGGGACCGATGGGTGAAAGGCGAGGGAGCAATCTGGCACCAGAAAGCCGAGTTCCCATTCGACTCTGACGTGAAGAAAATGTCAGTTATCTTCCGCAAACTTACCGAGTCGGAGGATAAAGAGATGGTGTTCACCAAGGGAGCAGTCGAGCGTATTATCGATTCCTGCACGTCTGTTATTCTGGATGCAGCTCAAGGCCCAGTGCCCATGACTGATGCTATCCGCAATGACATACTCGAGAACATGGAGGCGTTAGCGAAACTCGGTCTGCGTGTCCTTGCACTCGCCAGTCGGCCATATTCTCCTGCTGATCATGCACTTGAAGGCGCGGATATCAGTCGTGAAGATGTCGAAAGGGACTTGCAATTCTGTGGCTTGATCGGACTTTATGACCCCCCACGTCCCGAGACGGCAGGCTCAATTGCAGAATGTTACAAGGCAGGAATTTCAGTACACATGGTTACTGGTGATCATCCGGGAACAGCTCGTGCTATCGCAGCACAGGTTGGAATCATTCCTTCGGATCTGAGCATGGTTGCAAAGGATGTTGCCGACGCAATGGTCATGACAGCAAGCCAGTTTGACAAGCTATCTGAGGAGGAAATTGACCGTCTGCCAACCCTTCCATTGGTTATTGCTCGATGTGCACCACACACCAAAGTCCGTATGATCAAGGCTCTTCACAGACGAGGCAAGTTCGCAGCCATGACCGGTGATGGTGTCAATGACTCTCCATCGTTGAAGCATGCAGACGTCGGTATTGCAATGGGTCAGAGCGGTTCAGACGTGGCCAAGGATGCCTCGGATATCGTTCTGACGGACGACAATTTTGCATCTATCCTTAACGCTGTCGAAGAAGGCCGTCGTATCTTTGATAACATCCAGAAGTTTGTTCTGCATCTGCTTGCGGAGAATATTGCACAGGCTTGCACTTTGCTTATTGGATTGGCCTTCAAGGATAACGATAACCAGTCTGTCTTCCCACTGGCTCCAGTAGAAATCCTCTGGATCATCATGATTACGTCCGGAATGCCTGATATGGGTCTTGGAATGGAGATCGCGGCTCCTGATATCATGGACAGACCACCACAAAGCGTAAGTTCTCTTTTGTCTTCATCAGGTAGACAACATCCGCTAACAACGGTCTGTATATAGAAACAAGGAATCTTCACATGGGAGATTATCGTGGATATTGTGGCCTACGGACTCTGGATGTCAGCACTCTGTCTGTCTGCCTTTTCTCTAGTGACGTATGGCTTTGGAGACGGCAACTTGGGCACGCACTGCAACCGAGACTACACCCCCGAGTGCGACACCGTTTTCCGAGCTCGAGCCACGACCTTCGTCTGTCTGACCTGGTTCGCCCTCTTCCTGGCCTGGGAGATGGTCAATCTCCGCCGCAGCTTCTTCCGCATGCAGCCTGGCTCCAAGTTGTACTTCACACAGTGGATGCACGACGTCTGGCGCAACCAGTTCCTCTTCTGGGCCATCATGGCAGGCTTCATCACTATCTTCCCGCTGCTCTACATCCCTGTGATCAACCATAGTGTCTTCAGACATACCGGCATCACCTGGGAATGGGGAATTGTCTTCATTGAATCTTTGCTGTTCTTCCTTGGTGTCGAGGCCTGGAAATGGGGGAAGAGAATCTTCTTCCGTCGCCAGGCACGCCTCAATGCGGCATCCAACACAAACGAGGTGTCTCGAGTCCGAGGAACTAACTCAGCAGAAGAATAACGCAGGCTGTGAGGGGGGTTGAAGTGGAGAGTGTGTGAAGGTGTGTTTTGAGGTTGGAGTAGTGGTAGTTGAAGTTGATACATGTTCGATCAAGCGTAGAACTGGTCAACTTATGCCAGAAAATCATACTGAGGTAAGTAATAGAGGGATATCGAGTGGTATAATTAAATGCCGCTGGGGGATTCGCATGTAGGGTCTTTAATCGATACCCAGTTCATAGTGTCTATAGCCAAAAAATGCCATGTTCAGTATATTCTATACCATCCTATCAACACTCTCTCCCCTTTTATCATTAACAAAACAGAAGCATCAAAAGAATAGTAAAACAGCATTCTGTCACCCTGATTAAAATAAAGAAGACATGAAAAAGAAAGTAGAAAAAAACAAAAAAGAAGCCCAACGCGGGGCTCGAACCCGCAGCCTTGTGATGGCCAACCGTTATAAACTTGCTATAAGAGTATAAGAGTCACACGCTCTACCGATTGAGCTAGCCGGGCTGACTTGATGTTAGTCGGAGGGTCAAGAGCTCGTTTTGAGTAAGGGACAGGTCGAAAGAGGGGCGACTTGATAGATATCAAGATTGAAGATGCGGAGACTGAGAATAAACATTGCGGCCTCGTTGGGAGGAGTGCGCAGCTACGGCCTCCAGGAACATGAGAGACGGCGCCAGATGGCTCATTAAGACGCGATCGAGCTTACCCGGATACCCTCGTTTTTTGCTTGATTGATTGAATAGCTCTCGATGCCACGACGTACCACCCACTACGCGCCGACCTTTCCCTCAGGCGACGGCGCCTCTGTCTCGACAGCGAGAGTCCCCCAGCTTCTACCGTCGTATACGCCGCAGCAGAGACCCCGTGGGCAGCAGCCTGTCACTCCAGGATCAGACCCTGAGGACGAGTTAGACGAAGACGAAGAGGCGGGTGAGGGACTCGGAGGGGAAGAGGACGAGGACGAAGCGGAGGAGGAAGAAGAGGAAGAAGAAGAGCAAGAGGATGACGATGATGAAGGGGAGCAAGACGAATTAGAGGCTGTTGAAGGCCAGAGCTTTGAAGAGGGTGTGTTCTGGATTTCTTCTTTTTTTTGAACTGACAATGCTGACAATTTCCCTTCTCCAGATCTAGAGGAAGAAAAGGACTCTTCAGCTCCTATACCGCCTAATCTCCGTGAAATATCATCTCTCGCATCGTGGACAGTCTCGACATACAAGCCTGGCAGCGGCGTGGCTGCTCTCCGCCACCCTTCTCCAAACCAGTTCTGGCAGTCTGACGGACCGCAACCACATACTCTCTCCCTACACTTCTTCAAGCGCGTCTCCATTGTCCGGATACGCGTGTACCTAGACTTCGAACTCGACGAAAGCTATACCCCTACAAAAATGGTCTTTCTGGCTGGCATGGGTGGTAACGACCTAGTTGAATTTGCTACGTGGCAAGGGGAGACGCCCTGTGGATGGGTGGACATAAACCTCGAGGGAGTCGGAGGCAGGCATCAGAGGATAGGCAAGCTGTCTGCACGGGAGGAACGGCGCAAGGCAGCGAAACCTACGGGGACTAGCGGTTCTGAGGACAGCGATGTATCTGCTGCCGAAGACGACAGTGATAACTTTACCCCTGATCTGCTCCAAGATGATGATGATGATGATGCCGACCCAGCAGACGGTAACGTCTTGAAGCTGATGGTGCTGCAGGTCAAAATATGCGAGAATCATCAGAACGGCAAAGACACGCATGTTCGCGGGTTCCAGGTCTTTGCTCGAGATGACAAGTACTACGCTCGCATGGGCAGGGGTGATAATGGCCAGAAACTGCTCCATCATGACCTCGGGGCAGGCGTCTTGCACTCTGACGAAGCTGAGCTCGAAGCCGAGAATGCTCCCAAATTTGACGAGGAAGACTGGATGATGGAGCCAGAGCTAAGATGACCGTCCACAAATCCATCCATATCCGTTATGCCTACGTCCAACAAATCATTGAATTATTGATACCCCCTTTTTTATTCATTAGTACTTGCATAGCCTAGATAAGCATGAATTCAAACCCATTGAGGAGACAGTATCTATTTTTTTTGTCTTTAAAAGATAAAACTACGATCACGAGAGCAGCTTCTCGACCTCTGCAGCAACCGCATCTCCAACTTCCTTGGTCGTGGCCTTTCCGCCGATATCACCGGTCTTGACTCCGGACTCGATTATATTTCGGACCGCGGTTTCAATTATCTTGGCCTCCTCGGGTAGGTTGAGGGAATATTGAAGCATCATTGCCACAGACAGTATCATGGCAACGGGGTTTACAATGCCCTTCCCAGCGATATCCGGTGCGGATCCTAGTTGCATCAGCTATCAGCTCGGCCGACTGTAGCTGCAAGAAAAAAAGAATATACATACCATGAATAGGCTCGTATATGCCGCTGACCTTGGTCTTACCGTCAGGGATACCATTTAAACTGGCACTGGGCAACAATCCCAGCGATCCAGGGATAACACTGGCCTCGTCGCTGATGATATCACCGAACAGGTTGCTGGTAACAACAATACCGTTCAGAGCACGAGGGTTCTTCACCATCAACATGGCGGCGCTATCAATTAGATGATGGCCGTACTTCAATTGAGGGAATTCCTTATCCATCACCTCCGTGACAACCTTCCTCCATAGACGACTGGTAGCCAACACATTGGCCTTGTCCAAGCTCCACACAGGTAGTGGCGGGTCATGTTGAAGAGCCAAGTGAGCAGCCAGACGAACAACCCGCTCGATTTCAGCCCTCGAATAGGGCTCAGTATCACACGCGGTTCCATCTCCGTTATCCTCTCGCCGTTCACCAAAATAGATGCCTCCCGTGAGTTCGCGAATGATGTTGAAATCAACGTCCCGACATACCTCTGCCTTGAGGGGGGAGATATCGACTAGCGAAGGCGCTGCAAAGTTGCATGGACGTAAGTTGCCGAATGTCCCCATTTCCTTGCGTAGGCGGAGGATTCCTTGCTCGGGACGGACTGCGCCAGTACCCCATTTGGGGCCACCAACAGCTCCGAGAAGCACGGCATCGGCCTTCTTGGCTGCTGTAAGAGCTTCGTCTGTAAGGGCCGTTCCGGCTGCATCAATTGAGGCCTAGAATCGTGTAACTGTCAACTAGAATTCCTCCAAAACATGGCGTATGCTGATTGTAATCACAACTTACTCCTCCTAGTAGATGGTCCTGGAAGGTGAACTGTATCTCAGGCCTCTTCTTCTCCACGGCTTTCAGAACCTTTGTCCCTCGCGTTAGTATGGCAGGCCACTGGAGTGCTTCTTCTTCTTCTTCCTCCTACAGACTCGAGGTACACACCTTTATGCCCTCTGCAGCAACCTGTATAACCACTATTAGCTAACCCTGCCGCCCACTTGTCATGCGGGGACCACGTACCTCAGGCCCGCAGCAGTCCCCAGCGAAGACAACGACGTTATACTTGCCCATGATGCTCCTGTAGTAACTGATAAAACGGCAATTCTAGTGTAAAACGCGTGTTGGATGCTTTCTCGTGGATGTTATGATATCTATGGACAGTTCCTTTTATATGGATTGTTGTTGATTGCCCGAGCTTCCCTGAAGCTTTATCCCACTTGAGGCCGATCTCGGCTGTCCCGCTCCGACCATCGGCCCGCGGCTCAACCGGAGTTTGCACTGTTTGCATCTCCTTACTAGGATGAGTAATAGAGTTTAAAACTTGTAATCTCACGCATATCATTGGTGGAATTGCTCTCTCTTCAGTATAAACGGGTATCAACCTGTAACTTTCTCATAACCAGGCTATATTTGCTTAGTCACCGAGTTTTGATCACCGGGCCTGCTTATACTGTATTATTTGCCATTAGTCAGCACTACAACCTCCAACCCCATCAAAAATAAACTGAGAAATGGACTTTGACGCAGTGGAAAGCCGTGATTTTCACTCTAACAACACATGATATATTCTGATCATGGAGTATGGCTACTCAAGATGTGGTCTAATTAATAAGACTGATAATGAATGACCTCCATGCACACGAGGACTCCAACACAGCCTCTCTTATCGTGGAGAATACCAGCATTCGAGCATCTTGCTGATCAGTCTTGCTGCCAATAATATATCTACAATATGGTCACACCCTAACAGAGGCAAAGGCGATGTTTTACTGGAGCTTCGTATAGTACAGTTACCTCGTGTTGAAGGGAGATATAAAAGACGAAAGCCACAATCTCTCAGAGAACTTCATCTTTCGTCTTCGATGTAAAGCCTCCAGCGGATATTTTCGTGCTCCAGACGCTTCTCCCTGGTATATTCTTCTGCCGAGCCCAACATGCGTTTCACCGCTACTATCGGGGCTGTTATCGTCGGCTTTTGCGCTACCATAGCCCTTGGTGGACAGGTATTGTTTTCGATGCCTACTTAATAACCCCCCCCCCCCGCCCCGGGTTATCATAATGTAAACTAATTATTCCTACCCCTGATGTAACAAAAGATGACTGGATTTCCTGCCCCTAAGTATCACGGCGAACGGGTGGAAGTTGAATACACAGACAACAAATGTGCATTCTTCAATGGGATTCAAATCCGGTATCTTTACCAGAATTTTAACTGCCCGAATACGAAGACACTCGGAACCTCGGGAGCTAACCTCTAGTCTGCATAGATCCGTCCAGACTCCAGGGCAAGATAGCTGCGCCTTCTATGAGTGAGTTTTCCTCTTGGGAGTCCTCATTTTATGCTAACTTATTGAGTTAGACTACCCGAGTGTGAAGGACCGGCTGTCATAAGGACGGGGAACACTCCGGATTTCCCATTCTCCATCAGAAGCTTCGTGTGCCATAAGAGGCGATAGACGCATTATACACTATGCTATTTCCGGAACCTACATTCCAGGATGGGGTTCATACGTGTAGGTAGTGGTTAGTTACTGTGATATGCGAACCGGTTTATATGGTCTCCTTTTGCTGGTTTTGCTGTCTGAGGCTGTGTACGTAGGGTACTATCACTAGGTATTCCAAAGCCTCAGATAGTGAATGCTATCGCCACCACCAATTCACTTCCCTCCTTTTCTCTTCCTTATAACCATTCTCCCAAATATCTTCCCCTCTCTCCTTTCTCTTCTACTTCTTTTTCTTGCTATGTGTCGAACCGCTGGGCCAAAAAGGGAAGTCCCTAACTGACTGCAGAGAGAGTCACTATATATCATATACTCTATGTCAAGCACAGAACCACAAGCTGCGCAAGAACAAAAGAAGACCAATCCCCCAAGCGAAAGTGGAGTGCATCTCGGAGTGCATCCACTGGTTCAATTTTCTCCTTCAATTAACCGGTAACTTACTACTCGGAAGGGTTATTTGGTCTCCAACCTATCGAAGCCTCGTCGGACGGGAAATCTCTAAAACTTGGGTTCTACTGGCTAGATAAACGCCAAAGTGAGCGCTCTGCTGAGATGGACGACGTCATGGATAGTGGATATATACGAATTACCGCTATCAAGGAGTTGATTGAGCATGGTGGAGATGTCAGCCCAAAGTCCCGTTGGCGGTATGATAAAGCCGCAGAGCAAATCGCCGCTTTGAGTAGCTCAATATTGAAGACTACGATCTCGAGTCATTCTTCTAAGTTCTGTTCTGGATATACATCTACTATGATGAACCTTGGGGGAAAGAAGATACAGGGTTGTGTTCTAGGATGAAGATGCACAAGCAGATCCAGGGTGCTTGAGAACCATGACATCATAACACCCATATATGTGCAGGCCTTGTTGTATATACAGAGTATATATGAATGCATTCTGTCTGTCAAGCTAAAAATAACACGGTTAGACAGGGTTGAATGGCAAGCATGTGGAGAATACTCCGTCAATTGCATTGCATAAAATGTAGGAATCTCACTTCCCCGTGCAGGATTTAGAGAAGGAAGAGAAGGAGAAAAAAAGAAAAGCAAACCCAACCGCGGCTTCACTCCCGTATGGTGGATGGCGGGATGGCTGGGCTTCTTCTAGACCTTCCCCCGAGTAGTGACCGTAGGGCTCTCTGTCGGACCAGAAACAAGAAACCAGGATCCGTGAGTGGTTAAGAAACCGGGGGCCAGCGCGGTAGTTTTATCATTAGGTATTTCCATGAAGGTTGAGCCCACGGTCCGCGACCCGTCCGCAGCAAACTAACCAGCTAGTTAGTCCAGGCAGAGTCTTGTCCAAGGGGACCAAGCGACGCCCAAGCGACCTGTCTGCACACTGCTGTTGGCCACTAGCGACCGTTAGCCCAGTCCCCGGCCCTGCAGGAGATGGAAAGGCGCTGCGCATCGTTGTGATCTGGGCCCCCCCGGTCAATAGATATGTGTGTTATGCTTCATGGCAGTCGACTACCGGGGTTGTTGGGAGTCCCAGTTAAGGCTCAAGTTGACGGCACATACGTGGCCGCGGCCAGCTAACGCAGCTGATTTCAGCCTTCTTTGCTCCCCGAGACGACGGCCGGCCGTGGTGTTGGCGAGTTATCAATCCTTCTGCGGACTTCAGGGGTCACCCCCTATATCAATCACTACTACAACCAGGTGCAACGCAGCGAGCCTCACCCACCTTGGGCCCTGGGACGTCCGTCTAAAGGCCGCCACGGCAAAGAAAGAAAAAAAAAAAAAAAAACAAGGAGTCAGCTAGCTATCCGTAAGTTCATCAAGTCAACCAACCTGACTAGTTAGCTAGCGAGCTCAAAGGGCCGGCTGGAGGGAAGCCAGATCGCGGCCTTGGCTGGCTAGCTCGCTCTCGTCTGCAGCCACGGCTTGCGTTCTCGTTCGCTGTATACACGCCTTGTGAACGTATATATACCGGCGGGCTGGCTGCTGCCATGGCCCTTTCAGTAGCTTCTTAGCTGCTCTCATGCTGGCTCCTTTTTATTTTCTTTCTCCGCCAGGTGTTTGGCTGCGGTTGTCACCGTGAGGTCGGACGAGGGGATCCTGGTTTCGTAGTAGTTAGTTATTTAGCTATTATAACTAACTAAATGGCGCCGGTGGACGAGAATCAGCATATAGAAGTAGACGAGGTTCGTTTTTTATTTATTTCTTTTCTTTTTTTTTTTTTTCCTCTTTTCGTTCGTCCGGTCGTTCGTTTGCAGCGCGATAACCTGCAGTGCAGTACGCTGGCCGTGGAGTCGCGGGTTGGACTGACTGAATCTTGCTGTACGACCAGGCCGCAGAGATGGAGGACGAGGCCTACGCGGAAAACGACGAGTATGTATATATTCCCCAGTATATATATATATATATATGTATATTTATATATATGTGAGATTAAGGCTGACTGTCGGAGGGCAGGTCGACGCTGTCAACCTCGCTGTCGTCCAGCATTCTCGCATACCGCATGGAGAACGGCCGGCGATATCATGCATACAAGGCCGGCAGTGAGTGTCCCCCTTTTTATCATCTTTGACCGTAATCCATGTATACAGTGCTGACAGCCCAGGCTATCCGTTTCCCAACGATGAAGTGAGTTCCATGCTGTGGCCCGTTGACACTCGCAGTGTGCTAACCTTGTCGTCTGTCCATAGTTAGAGAACGACCGGCTGGGTGAGTATCTCTCTCTCTCTCGCTCTCGAGGGTACGCCTGCTAACGGTGCGATGGCAGACATGCAGCATGCGGTCTTCCTCAGGTCGCTGGATGGCAGGCTGTGTCTATGTCCAATCAAAGAAGATATCCAGAATGTGCTGGACGTTGGTATGTGCCGGCCAAACCGCAGAGGGCTTGCAGAGGACTCCGAGATGTATATTAACAGCCAACATATAGGCACTGGAACCGGCGTCTGGGCCCTTGACTTTGGTATGTTCAGCCCCTAGTTGAGTACGGCCTGGCTATCCACTTCGAAGCCGGGCTGTTTGATCTGTTCAATAAGACGGATACTGATATAGACCTGGCCCCGTTAGCCGATGAGCATCCCTCTGCACAGGTATGTGTATACAGACCTTATCCCCAGGTTTTCAGCATCAACTCACCGCTGTCTAGATCGTCGGTACAGACCTGTCGCCGATCCAGCCGAGTCTGTATGTACTCACTTCATAGTCTCTCTCTCTCTGGTGGGTATCCAGGTGTCCGTTAACATGCCATGGCATACAGGGTCCCTCCAAATCTCAGCTTCCTGATAGACGACGCAGAAGCAGAGTGGCAGTTCCATCAAAAATTCGACCTGGTCCACGGCCGGATGATGACCGGCTCCCTCAAGGACTGGGACCGCTTCTATACCCAATGCTACGAGTGAGCAGCCCAACATCACCTCACCTCCCTGCAATTACTCGCCTAAGTTAGTTACTAAGAAGTTCCACTCAAAAACAGCAACATTACACCGGGCGGATATGTTGAGATGCAAGACATCTGTCTCCCGCTAAAAGCCGACGACGGCACACTAACCTCAGACCACGCCCTGGACAAATGGTCGCGGCTATGTCTGGAAGCCTGCGAGAAGCTCGAGAGGCCGCTGGACGTGGCGAAGAGTCACAAGCGGCGCATGGAGGCAGCTGGCTTCGTGGACGTGGTGGAGGTAGTGCACAAATGGCCGCAGAACTCATGGGCAAAGGACCCAAAGCTGAAGGAGATCGGCAACTGGACGATGACGAATATGCTGGAGGGTCTACAGGCGCTGACCGTAGGGCCGTTTACGAGAGGGCTGGGCTGGAGTTTGGAGCAGGTCGAGGCGTTTTTGATAGACGTGCGGAATGACGTCAAGAACAGGAAATTGCATGTTTACTGGCCGATGTAAGTCTCTTGTGCATTTCTAGAGGACTGGATCTGATGCTAATGGCTGCAGGTACTTTGTATACGGCCGCAAGCCGGAGAGTGACATGAAGAGATAATTCTAATGAGCTGGAGTTCTTTTTTTTTTTTTATGTTTTTTTTTTTTTTTGCATAATTGTTACGGCCCTAGTCAGCTATTTTTCAATCTATATAAAAACACGGAGACTTAATAGAAACACCTGCATATTCAATCCGATGGTTTGGTGATAATACTATAATCAGTCCGGTTTGATAATGACAGTATACTCCTACGAGGTAGATGCGCTGAACAGCGGTAGATTGCAAATGCGAGACGTGATACATAGCACATCAGCTCGGCACCGGTTCCTAGTCCTCGACCCTATCCTAGGGGCTCTAATGCTATTAATACAAAATCATAAACAGGAAGGGAAGTGTGATAGAAGATCGTATCAGCGGTAAAAGTAGAAGATAAAGAAGATATCACAGAGAAGAAGCAAGAAAAGACAAAAGAGAATAAAAGTGAATGGTAAACAAATGACAGAGAACAGAACAGAGCAGAACAGAACATAAGGCTTGACGTGGTGTGAGCAGTAAGTATAGATAGAGCATTTTTGTTTCCGACCAGCATGAAAACTCCATGAGATGATTAAGTGTGGTAAGAGGTGAATAAATGCAGCAGGGGGGGAGCACCCATAGTGATGGATCAAGGGAGTCACTTTGCGATGCCCAGCTTACGCCGTCTGGCAATGTCTCCCTCTGCCAACCACCGGCTGGCCTTGACCATCTGAACGATATTAATGAACTGCTTTCCAGCCATGATGGGAGCCGAGATGCCCGTCAGGACCCACGGCCAGAAGCTGTCCATCTTGTTTGCGCGGGCCATCTCGAGGGCTCCGGCGCTCCACGGGTTGGCAAAGAGGGTGGTCGGATGGGCTACGGGGACCGCACTGGGCTGCAGCAGGGAGGGCGAGAGGGTCGGCGAGGAGAACGAAAGCAGATACAATCCTATAAAAAACATTTCGTTCATGGCGCAGAAAGTGAACAGGACGGCCTGCAAACTAATTAGCAAACCAAACAATCTACCCCCACCGAAGTAACAGCAACGCACCTTGTTGTTGTAGTACTGGTACAAGATCCAGCTGCGGCTCGAATCGATCTTCTTATGGCTCTGGTTGGAGCCGCCCATGGTCAGGGTGGCGTACATGTGCATGTAGTGGCTGGTCAGGTCGAGGGAGATCAGGCCCTGGAAGAGGATGGCCCAGCGAGGCCAGGCGGAGCTGAGGAAGACCAGCAGACAGGCGGTGGTGCAGCGGTCGGTGACCATGTCGAGCACGGCGCCGAAGGTGGTGGATTGGTTGTAGACGCGGGCTGCGTAGCCGTCGAGCCCGTCGAGCAGGCAGGAGACGCTGTACAGGGCCGAGCATGTCCGGGGGTGAAGGGGCATGTAGTAGAGCGAGGCGGTTGCGAGGACAATCCGGACGTAGCCTACCACAGTCAGTATATCATCGCCAGTATAATATCATTTAGAGGCTTACCGATGATATTGGGCCAGAAGAGGAAGATGTTCTCCTTCTCGCTGTGCTGGCCGTCCCGCGGCGGCGACCTCTTGCGCCTGGCACTCCCGTTCGTCTTGGGCGACCCAGCCGAGCCGTTCTTGGAGCCGTTGCTGTGCCCGTTGGCGAGAGAGTCGGCGTGCTCGTCGTCGCTGTGAGCCTGAGCCTGAGCCTGCGCCTGAGCCTGCGCCTGCTGGGCGGCCTTTTGTCGCCTTGTGCGTGCGGACATGTCGCGTGTGGTGGTGGTGATGGTGATGGTGATGGTGAAGCCAGCCAGCAGCCAGCGAGCAGCGTCTGGGACTTGAGTCGAGCGAGAAGCGGCCTCGAGAAGAGCAAGATCTGTCTCTTCCGTCTCTGCTTTGTCTCTGCTGTCTTGTTCTTGTTCTTGTCTTTGTCTTTGCGGTTGTCGTTGATGCCTGCTGGCTTTTTGCTGGATATTTTTTTCTGGGTCTGGAGATGGAGGCTGCGGCTCGACCGGGAGGAACTTGGCGGATCAGCGAGGACTAGCGACGGGAAACGAGTAGTCGAGGATGTCGGATAGCGGTGATGTAGCTGTCGATGTCGATGTAGATGGTGATGTTGCTGGTGGTGATGGTAGTTGTAGATGTAGATGTAGATGTAGTGAGTTGAGTTGTGGATGGAGCAACAGGCTGAGGCTGCAGGATCAAGACTCTATCAAGACAAGTTGATGAATTGATAATCTACCAGACGGAAGAGAGTTGATATAATCTACCAGACGGAGAAGGATATTTACCGGCAAAGACGGCGATCGGCCGGGTCGATATATACAGACAGCACAAGTAACTATCAGGAGAAGCAGTCTATGCAAACGGTATATGCAGTCGTAACGAACGAAACCAATATCACAGCAGAACAGAACAGTTGAATAAATCTTCAAGAATAATCTTCATCCTCGATTGAATATCAATGGTCATCTCCTTCGCTTCCGCGGATCAGCAGCGTCTCTGCTCCTCCACTCCCTGGCCTCCTTGGTGGCCATGCTCCCCAGGCCGCCCTCCTGGCGCCGCTCCCAGCCCCCCAGCCGCACAACGAGACAGGTGGCATTGTCCCCGTCCGAAGACACCTCGGTCGCAAAGGCCACGACGTCTCGCGCGCCCTGGTCCGGCGTCTTGGCCTCCTTGACGATATCGACGACTTCCTGGTCGCTCAGGGTGCCGCTGACGCCGTCGCTCATGAGGACGAGAAACGAGTACTCGGCAGGCCGCATGTCGATGCGTCGCAGCTCCGGCTCAGCAGAGACGCCGATGCGTTTGCTCGCGATGTCGCCAAAGGCTCGCGTGTTGGCCAGGCCGGACATGCGTTCCTCGCCGAACGAGTCGGTCACGAACGTCGCGGCGTAGCGTTGCAGACGGGCACTCTCCACGGGCGAGGACGGGTGGTGGTCTGTCGTGAGCGGGATCGGGTGGCCTGTTGCCGTCGAGCAGAGCAGGATGCGGGTGTCGCCTATGTGCGAGACGAGCAGGGAGGAGGGAGCGTCCGGGTGCCAGAAGGGGGTGGGCGTGGGCGTGGATATCATGGCGATGCTGCCGGTGCTGCCGCCCTTGAAGGTCTTGTGGTGGTGGTGGTGGTGCGGTGTGCGGCCGCCGCTGCCAGGCATGTTGTCGCGGTATCGGTTGGGCTGGTGCAGGATGTCGTATTCGTTGAGCGGCTTCTCGGGGCTGGTCGGGATGGGTGGTTTGGAGTCGTTCCTGGATACCTGCTCGGAGACGAAGTCGAGGTCGGCGCGGAGAAAGGCGTACTCGACCACTTCTTCGATCGAGACGCCCGACCGGACGCTGACACGGATGTCTTCCCCTTCTGCATCGGGTTCTGCATGGTTGATGGTGGTGCCGTGATGGCCGTCGTCGCCGTCACTGCCAGTCGGTTCGGCCCCGGCGTAGGAGAAATGCAGCGGCTGAAACCGTCGAAAGTAGCCGCCCACCAGATCCCTCCAGTCGGCGACGAGCTTCTTCTCCATGGCGCCGATGCGTTCTCTGTTGGCCTTTTGGAGGATCGGCAGGTCCCCCTGCACCGCGTGGCTGCGCTGCCTGTCATCCGTAGAAAAAGACGTAGTAGAGAAAGGAGAGACGCCGTACTTGACCTCCCCCACGCGCTCTCGATGGCGGACCGCTCTGTTGGTCAGCCGCTGGCTCTCGACGCACTTTGACAGCGCCGACTCCATGCCGAACTCGACGGCCGTCTGCTGGATGTAGCCATGCAGTTTGTCCCGCAGGAACTCGCTGCACTCCGTCCCGCCGTGGCCGTCAAACACGCCAAAGTAGAACACCTGGGGGTCTCCCGTAGCGCTGTCGGCCGCTTTATTGCCTTCCCCGGCAGCCTGGCCGACGGTGACGGATAAGGGTGCCCGGCGAGCAAAGGCCGGCAGGTCGATGACGCCGGCCTGGTAGGTGTCTTCGTTGGTCGGGCGCGAGCCACGCACATGCGAGACGCCGAAATGGTGCTTTGCACTGCGCAGAGGGATGCGGACGACGGTTGTCTCGCGGCCTATGGCGAGCCCGGAGGCAGGGGAGATGGTGGCCGGGGAGGCATTGGTTCTGGTGCCTGCAACGGTGGACGAGGCGGCATGCGGGACAGAGGCTGAGCGCGGGAGGTGGTGCTGGGGCCCGACGGAGGCGCGGGAGTCTGGATGCAGCGAGGAGGTCGGCAGATGCGTGACGAAGTAGTCGTGGAAATGGCGGCGGGCAGTGCGAGATGTCGATGTCGATGTCGATGTCGATGTAGATGTAGATGTTGATCCTGTGTCTCCGGAAGTCGAGGTTGCGTATCTGCGCAGGAAGACGGAGATGAAGGCTGCAATAACACAACCACTATTAGCGATGATCTGATACTCATAATAATAGGAAGAAGAGAAGAGAAGTCTTACTGTAGCTGTCGGCGAGGGTCCAGCCCTGGATGCGCACCCGCTTGACGGCCGCGCTCATCTGTGATGTCTGAGTCGGGATATCAAGACGACGACGGTGAGGTCGACAGCAACTCCCAGGCAAGACTCAAGACGCAAGACTCAAGACTGAAGACTCAAGACTCAAGACTCAAGCAACAGCTGGCCTCATCGTCTGCCCCGAAGAAGAGCGGCTGATACGAGGCGAACAAGATGAAAATCCCGACTGATCCTTGCAGCCGCGAGAGGCTTCTCCACGTGTGTGGCCGGGTCAGGCTGGCTGAGGCATCTTCTAGTCGATGATGACGATATTGAAGAGAAGAAGAGAAGAAGATGATGATGATAACGAAGAAGAAGAAGAGAGAGATCAAACAGGAGATGCCTCAGAGCAGTCGCGGCTGAGCCCAACAGTCCGACGCTGGCAGTTATTAATAACACGAGCTCAACTAATACTGGAAGTCAGAAACCGCGAGTTTGCGTTGTGTTGAGCCGGACTTACTTTGTTCCTGCTGTCGATCTGATAACAGGTAGAACTGAGAACTTCTATAGCTAATGGTTATTTGAACGGTCGAGGGCTCCTGCGTGGTCTAGACTGTCGAAGGTTGATTCTTTGCTTCAATAAAGCTAGACTCAAGGCAATATATTGTGGAATACACATATTGCCTATATGCTGTCCATCCCGAATATCACTTACACCATTATGCTCACTACCATGCCCACGACCATCCAGATACCAGTATTCCTGCATGGCCAAGGGCTCCGTTAGGCTTTGCAGTGGCTGTGCAGTCCTTTTGCAGCCCGCTGTGGAAGGAATAGAATTCATCCAACTGTCGGTCAGCTTGGAGGCTGGAATACTGCGAGGAATCCGATGCCGTGCAGTACAATGGGCCGCTTGTGGTTGGCGCAGTGTCTAGACAGGAGAGTTGTGGCAGCAGCAGCAGCGACGAGGAATGTAACTCATGTCGATATCAGGATATGGATCTGTGGTGAGTATGAAGCTATGTAAGGATAGCTGTGAGTCCTGTAAATGTGCTCGACAGACGTCTCCATTTTACAACACCGACATCGTTGTCGAGTCCTTACCTGCCACACATATCTATATCACCCAGAGTAAGCCCGCAGTAAGAATAGACACATCGTACAGAGACAGAATGAAGCATGCTCTAGTGCTAAGGATGGGTATCAAAGGCTCCAACCTGCTCACACTTTGGACAACTTCCCAACAGTTACAGAGCCGTTAAGTAGAGCTGCAGCCGAGTAGTTAAACCAAATACTCAGGAGAGATAGAGATACCGGATGTTAGTCTACCACGTCCGAGCAAAATGTGGAAAGCAAGCTGGATGGCTGAATTGGTATAAGAGCACCGGAAGTTTACTAGCTTGCCAGGGGAGCGGAAGCTAGACCGGGCAACTTACTGGCTTTGTTGCCTTCCAACGGCAGCTTTAGCGCCCGCCAGGAACCAGGGAACCGGAGTAGACAGGGCACAGTAATATCGTCATCCAGGTCTAATGCACTGGTGTTTGCATTGAAGCCCTGATGAAACTGTCAGCTATGCTTATCATGACGAGCAGAAGGATCACCACAGAACGCTACCTCGTATCTGATTAGCTATAATCACCCTCTTATACTATTTATCGACTCAGCACGGAGTAACTGTATCTAGACGTTGTAGTCACTCTAGATGGAGGCAACAGTAGTTAGTTAAGCGTCTGCAAACACCATCAAAGATTCGACATTCAAAACAAACACTTGACTGATGACTCGTATCTACGGCCATCAACAAAAGATCTACTCCGTAAACTAAAGACCAGCAAGACAACAGCTCAAAGAGAGAGAAAGACGAAGTTGAAGAAGAAGAAGAAGAAGAAGAAGAAGAAGAAAAGTTGAAGTCGAGATGTTGATTTCCTTTTTGGGCAAGAGTAGGGAAAATGACTAAGCAGACAAATCAGGACTAGTGTAAGTTACATCACTGTATCAGCATTACACACGATAACTGTTTTGACCAATAAGATGCTGTCAATACTCATAAATTACTGCTCCCAAAAAGGAAATCTGAACTTCTTCTTCAACTTGAGATTTTCTAAGGTCAAAATGAAGAAAAGAAGTGAAAACATCAAAGTCATGAATTAAAGAACTAACAGACGGCCTATCTAAGAAGTTAAATACATCATGCGAGCACTAGCAGTGCAAGGAAGACGCAGCATGAGTGTGGGCAGTGGCCTTGAAAAAACGCAGCAATACCAGGGGAAGGAAACATGGAAGGGAATCAGCAACTTTTGTTGAAAAGCCGACGGGCGTGTTAATGTTGAACTTGATATTGCCCACTTTCTCGACTCCAAGGGTATTCAAAAGGATACCAGAAGGAGCAGAGACCAAATAACAACAAGCCGTGTTTCAGATGCGGGTGAAGAAGTTTCTCCTGAAGAAAATCTGATGCCCTACTTGCGGCCGGGCTCTGAGTTCAAGAGCATATCTCCGAGATGCAGGACCTGGACGGCCGCGTTAGGGTGCGAGACCACGTTCTTGAACAGCGGGACAGGCGTGATCGACAGTTTGATGGTGTACTTGCGTTTGGACTCCTGCATTTGCCAGCCCTCGTCCGTTCCGGCGTTGTGGTCGGTCATGTACGTCGGGTCGAAGTGGTGGTGGGCCAGTGGGTGCAGGAACTTGAACTCGTAGGGGCCAGAGTGCATGATCAGAGCCAGGCTGTGGGCGTCAATCATGATCTCGACAAGGTCACGCCACACGCTGGGATCGCGGGAGAAGATAAACGGGGATAGCAAGTGGAACAGCTCCTGGGTGTTCTCGTGGGTGCGCTTGTTGAAGAAGTTGTCGAACAACGGGCGGTTGCGGAGGAGGAGTATATGCTGTCCGATACCCTGGATCATAGCATTCTTTACCGTGGCGGGAGTGCCTTGCAGCTGGTCAGTTATGTTGACTATGGGGGAGAACTCTCAATGGGGAATGTGCAGTTGGCTGTCTCTTACCAGAGTGGAGATGGGTAGTCATCTGCTGGATCTCAGAGTCAACTGTCGGATCGAAGCCGTTGACAACGCTTGTCTTCAGGACTGTCCTCGTAATGAACCAGTTGATCATCTTCGAGACCATCAAGAATCGAGTGGATACGTTGCTCAGCAACTCAGTTGCATTGCTCGATGCATGGCTCAGAAACGAACGCAGCTCCTCGCTCACTGCCTTCTCGTCATACATGAAGTTGGTGTTTGTGTACTTCATTGCAAAACACTTCGATGCCGTCCACAGGCCGACCAGGCGGTTTGCAAAGTCACCGCTGTTGTATGGTGGGTCTCGAGTATGGATAACCTGCTGAGGCTGCATGTTTACCATCGACACAAAGGAGGCAATCTGTTCGTCAGGCGAGGATGACGTTCCTCGAGAGACTCCAGTTGTTCCAGTGCCCGTGCCTGCAGTTGAGTTGGCGTTCGAGCTCGTCGGGATAAAGTGAGACTGGGTACCCACACCGGCCTGGTTAGTATTTCCTCTTGCAGTTCCACTGGCCGCAGCTGCTGCAGCTGCTCCATGTAGGTTAAATGGTGGCGGTGGCTGTCCAAAGACGTTCTGGTACCGAGTTGTGGGAGACAGCTCAGGATGCTCCTGCATCGACATTCTCCTCATGCCAGACCCATTGCCTTTTCCGTTACCGGTACCGGATCCAGAACCCGAATACCCTTCAGTATCAGGAGAGCTCACTGGGACCAGGGCCATAGATGCAGATCTACTATCTCCCTGGATCCCATGGCGCTGAAGCATCTCCTCCAGCTCTCGGATACGAGCCTGCAGCCCTTCAATCATATCGTGGTCGTGACGCTCCTGAGCTAATGCAGTGTTGAGTTTGTTCTGGATACACTCTCTCTGAAGCTCAGAGTGCTCGAGCTGCTCCTTCAAGTACTCTATCTCGGCCTCCAACGCGTCAATATCCGCCGGCTGGATCTGAGACTGGCCATGTGGCTGAGGCTGAGCCTGGGATTGAGGTTGAGGCTGCGGTTGCTGCGTATAGCCAGATCCAGAAGGCTGCAGAGCCAACGGTGGCTGCAAGAGCCCTGCTTGCGGGTGAACAGGATGAGCACCATGATAGTACTGCGTGCCGGCACTGGGGCCAGTCATAGGCATCCCATGATATGCAGACATGGCTACCTCTCTTTCTTTGCTCTATTATATACCCACAGGTCAGATCAGATATACCTTTGCGTCGGCTGCCATGTGCATCCAGAGATAGTCTGTGAAAACAGGCGTCAAAAGAAGCAAGACGGCACCTACCTCTGAATGATATCTATCAAGCAATAGATACTAAGTGTTGCAGGTAAGTTAAGCTATCTTCTGCTGTTAAAAAGAGGAGGGAGTTGCCTGTCTTTTTATAGCAACAGCGAATGGTTGTTGTTTTTTTTTTTTAAGGAAGAGAGAGACAAAGCACTAGAAGAAGATATCAGAACACACAAAAGTGGCGCTAGCAGGAGGACAGGAAGTGAGAGCAAGTAAGAGTACGCTAAGCAGTCACTACAGGACTGATAGGAGAGGCCTGGACAGTGAGTCCCACTTCTATTAAGATATTTTATCAGATAGTAGGTGATATTCACCTCCTGAGAGGGTGAGCTGTACTGCACATATGCCTCTCTATGTCTATGGTCAGTTCTAAGTAACAAATTCATTTCTATTTGGCAGTTTAAATCTAGTAGCTAGGATAAGCATTCATGTAAGAGCTTGAGAGATACGACCCGATTAATACTAGACAGACTCTTGGGCATTATCCAAGATAGGTATCTGCCTCCCGAAGATGATATGTCCATCTATATAGTAGGTTTAAAGGGAGCAAAGTCCCTGAATATGCTGTTCCTTAACTATAGTGAGAGCAATATTTTTGCCCATTATAGTTACTATCACGACATGAGATAAGCTTGAAGAAGGATTTGAGAGGTTGGAGGGTATTCGGGTATTCAAATTACTTGTTAATTCAAATTCGAACTGCTTATGAGGATATCATATCGACTAAGCAGCCGACGCTCCACGTATTCCTGTGATAGCGGCAATGCTCGACGCTTAACCAAATGAGGATGCTTGTAAATGATATAAGGTATATCATTTACTAAGCACCCATATTCAGTTAACACAGCGTCGAGCATCGCCTCGTTTGAGTCAGATTCTCAGAGAGTTTTCCTCTGTATATAGGGGAGGTACCCCTGATCTATCGACCCTTGTCACAGCTCCTATATTTTCAACTCTCTCGGCTTTCCCCACGTATTCTGCCTAGCAACTTGATAGTTGAAAGGAAATAAAAAGTAACTTGATATGAGTGAAAATACTACAGCTAGATAAATATAGCAGCATAAATATAATGCTGTGTATTCAATGCTATACCAGGCTGCGACCAATTAAAAAGGAGAAATAACTATGTATGAATGATATATTTATGTTGGCCTATGAACGAAGATCAATCGAGCAGCTATACAAATTGTGGCTATAAAGGAAACGAAACTAGATGCAACTAGCCATGCTCAGGAAGATGGTATCGATGGTAGAGCCAGAAAATAGGAAAAATCTCCCTGACGGTACATACCACTTGAAGCAATCCACCATTTTGAGAATAACTTCTTTGATATTTTCTCTTACTCCCGAGCACACAGTGAGCGAGGACAGGATCACGTACTCCTAAGAAGTCAGGGGTTGGTGAGGTAATAGCAAGAGCACGCGGGAAAGTACTGTCCAAAGGTCGCGTGGATAATACCTACCGTCTGTGGCCGAGAGTCCAGTTAAAAGAAACCTAAGTGTCTTTCAGTCATGGTTTGCGGAGATAGCTCATATGGCCTTGGTCCTGGAGAAAAGACTACTGTAAACAGCGTCGACGACGGGTTGGGCGCTGATCTGACGGCCGCCGAAGAAGCGGCCGTTCAAACCCTTGATGGCGTTTTCACCTCCTTGGACACGGTCGAATTTGAGGTAGATGTCGCCTTGGGTATTAGGATCTAACGAGATGTGAACAACATGGCCATACTTTTCTTCGCATTCAGCGCGGACATCGTCCTCGAGTTCCTTAACCCAAGATTCGCCTTCTTCCCTATAAACCAGTTAGCACTTCTATACAGGATGAAAAACAAAAATTCAAGATACAGGATGTTGAGGTAACTTACTGGGCTGGATCAAACATGTTCCGTAGAAGTACACAGCGACTTGCCATGTTGACGGTGACAGGGAGAGGCTTAGCCTCTGTACGAGCCTTGGGGGCTTTGCGTTTCTCGTCAGGGGCGGGTTCAGCGGCGGGTTCATCTGTTCTTGCGAGTTTCCTCATCAATGCATCCCTGCTATAATTGTTAAAGTTCACACCGGCGACGTCGGTATCATCTAGCGCGCTAGCACCGCCAGCGCCTTTGTCATTGTCTCGGCCGCCTGCACGGTCAAAATTACCGCCGGAACTACCACCCACGTTGGCTCCGCGGCCACCGTGGTGGGAATATGACGACCCCTGGTTGTGGCCCTGTTGTTGAAGTCGTTGCATCAGCTGGGCCGGATCATGGCTAAATTTGTCATTGCCTAGGCCGACACGAATGGGACGACCAGCAAGATCGAAACCGTTCATCTTCTCAAGAGCTTCACGAGCTTGGTTAGGGTCGCGGAATCTGTTAAAATTTGTTAGTTGATTGTGTTAATTGCGAGGGGAGAAATGTTAATATAGGCTGTGATAACTTACTGTACGAAGCCATATCCTTTACTACGTCCGGTTTCTTCCCTTTGCAGTTGGACAAAGTCAAGTTCGCCAAACGGCTCGAAAACATTCTGCAGATCGCTCTCAGTGATACTGAAATGAATATTACCGACATACAACCTATGGAAGGGAATAGACTGCTGATTGTTGTTGGAGTGAGCATCAGGATTGCGAGCCTGACGATTTTTCTCGGCTTCTGTTAACTGGGCGATAATTGGGATTCCTAGAAGTTTTTGTCCAGTAAGCTGGATGGCAAGTGGGACTGATTCTTCGTTCTTAAACTCGACATAACCAACACTAAGACAATAAGTTAGTTTTCGGTCTGCGATTTATATAGGTATAAGGGAGGAACCTGCTTACCCTTTGGATCTCCCACTAACTCTGTCCTTCACAATCTGGGCCTCCTTTACAGGGCCAACCTTTTCAAAGAAGGCAATAAGCTCTTTCGTTCTTAGGCGAGCAGCAAGCTGCTGAACAAATACGGTGCGCCTGTCGCGTTCATCTTCAGTCAGTTGGGGCTCGGGCGTCTTGCTAGGAGAACGTCGACGGCTGTCCCTATCCCGCCGGGAGCGACGCTTTTCATCGTCCCGATCACCCCCGTCACGGCGTGCCCGGCCAGTTGGTCTATAGTATCTATCATCGAGCGGAGATCGGGAACGGGATCTAGTCCGGCCACCGCCTCTGTAGAAATCTCCGCCGCCACCGGACGAGCGGTAGGCGTCGTCACGGTCACGGTCACGGTCGCGGTCGCGGCGAGAGCGTTTCCTCTCGCTATCACGGCTTCTACTTCTCTTTCGGCTTCTATGGCTCCCGTTAGCACTTGCGCGATCGCTTTTTGGGCTCTTCATCTCTTCGTCTCCATCGGCATCCCTCTCGCGGCGTCGGTCTCGGCTACGGTCTCGGCGTCTACGATCCCTATCCCTATCGCGGTCCCGGGAGCCATCTCGGTCACGGCGTCCATCACGGTCCTTTTTCTTTTCGACTTCGTTGTCTCTCAGATCCGACGTTTCCACGGATTTGGAGGTATCGGGTCCTGGGTCCGCAGTTGAATCAAGTAACGCCTCAACGTCGATACCAGACATGATGGAAAGAAACAAAGAGGTAAATGGAGGTAAATAGGAGAGGAACGCGGACGGATAGGGAGTAGATATCACTTTTTGCTTCCGTTAGATGCGAGAGGGGAGACAGTAAGAAGGGAAGAAGCGCGAGTCGGTCGAACCCTTTGCTTTGCTTGAAACCTGGCCGCAGAGCCTGCAGAACCGTCTTCTCCGTCTGTCACCAGCAGTGACCTAAGTTAATTCTGCCGCAGGACTTATAGCAATAATATATGTAGTTAACAGACCACTTCTGCTGTCTCTTGTCGTTGTGATTATGACGAAGGAGCAACTTTGCTTCGTTTTTTGACGTTGAAGACGAAGAAAATTTAGGCTTAGTCATACATCACGTGGCGGTAATATTATGTAACGATGGGAATAATGTTGGTCCGTGAGTTTGTGACCGAGGTTTAACCATAACCTTAACCTTAATTTGAGCGAAGATGAAATGTCAGGATTAGTCATCCTCTGTAGAACTCGCAGATGGCTCATGTTCCCAAAGGGAACATGGGGCAGAAGACCTTTTAGTCCCATGGTCCTGTGGTTCATGTTCCGACATGAAATCATTCAGAGATTCAGCGTGGGCGAAACAAGAGGATTATCATATATTCATGTTTAGATTGGCCCTATTATTTTCTCTTCTAGTTGCGTTTTTGAAACATGTAGTTGACATATATATTAGTATGAGTATGTAATAGGTTACAAGCTGATAACGATAAAGTAGCCACCCCATGTTTAAAAGTATACTTCCAGAAAGCCAACCTGAGAGATATTAGCGTAATTACAGTCAAACGGTGAGATTTTCCGCTGTTGATATTCGGGGTAAATACAGCTGTACTTGACCCTCTGCCAGCTTTATGGTTTTGTTGATTATTTTCTTTCTTTGCAATATGATCTAGACCGATCTCAAATCTGACAAAGCATCAATAGGGGGAGGAAGGAGCAGATCGACGTCAACTCACTACTCAACCTCTACCTCCCTGTCTATTGCCATCAATGGTAGAACCATGGCAGTGGTGATCACGGGTAGGACTTTTGTATCACTGTTAATATCTCCATCTACACTGTAGGGGGTTGATATGGTTGTACTAACAGGCAGCAAATTGAAAACTGTAGAGATAGCTGCTGCGAACAATGCTTCGTAGCGCCTCGGGGATGATGCTAGGGTTAGAATCATGTAGAACACGCTCGATGATCTGCCGATGAAGGTCAGGAGCCGGATATTATCGAATTACAGATATGTAGGCGGAAGGCTGCTTACCTCCTTTTTGTTAGGAATGTCTTCAAGGCGTATCTTAAGAACCTCACGCAATATTGTTTCAATAGTCAGAGAGGAAAGCACAGTTCCAAGCATAGTGCCAACCTGCTGGCAGAGATAGTAGACGCATATAGCTGTGGCATGAATGGACTTCGGAGTGCACGCAATCAGCCCGGTAAAGGTTGTCGAGAGCAAGAGACCGAAACTCAGGAAAGCTGGGAGCACGTATAGCGATTCCCAGCTACTTACCCCAGTTCGCCATCTTACCGCAATCAAGGTGAAAAATGTGAGGCCGAGGAGAACAGATATGATTGATAAGGTCTTATACCTATGAGTTCTAAATTGTCACAAAGAATCATTAGTCTCATTGTTCCATACGTCCAATCTCACTTCTCGTAACAAAAGGAGTGTAACTTACTTCCTGATAATATAGCCAGCAGTGACAGAGCCAGTTGTGAAACCCACGAACACAGGAGCAAGGTAAATTGCAGCTCGTGTGTTACTGGCCCCCGTGGTGCGAATGAAATAGGGCGCAATATTTGTCAAATTCTGTCCAAATGTCAGTGATCATTGTTCAAACGTATATGTTGTGAGGGTATCTTCGGGGGAGCTGATTACCGCAAAGGCTCCTACTTGTAAAAGCACCTGGACAGCGTATGGACCTGCCATGCTTTTGAGTAAGCCAGGGGGAATAACGGGTTCTCTCGCATAGTAAGTCTCCACCACAAGGAAAAAAGCACCAAATACAACGGAGACTACTCCGAATAGAATCGTTATTCTCGTCGAAGCTTCATGGTCACCTAGAAGCCTGAGGGCAACCAGGAAGGTGGTGATCGAGATAGCAAACATAGCGATCCCCAGGAAATCAACTCTTTTGCGCAGCGCAATCTTTTTCACATTCTTGTCCATTGGTTTGGCTGGAGGTAGAAGGACTATGGAAATGATACAGCACATGATTGCGGTCGGAGCCTGGACAACAAAAGACCTTAAAATAGTCAGTAAACCTATGTACTAGCTTATGCTATCAGATAGGTGACCAATACTTACAATTGCCACCCGACGCTGTCCGTAATGAAAGCCCCAATGGGTCCTCCGAGAACACGACCGAAGACACTGACCATGTTCACGTAGCTCCGTGTAATTGCTACCTGGCTGGGCGAGACATTATCTGTTGATTGTCAGTAGCTTCATCGAGCGTTTCCAGACGTTGACCCCTACCAGTGATTAACACGCATACTAGAGCAACCATGCCAGCTGCCCCAATTCCTGTTATTACTCTCCCAGCAATAACTTGCCATAATGCAGTTGCCGTACCCCTATTTATGTATTAGAGTGTGCTAGGTGGCTCAAATCGAAGAGTCGAGAGGGATAACATACGAAAATATGCAGCCACCGCTAAAGAGGCAGTAGGAGACAACCAAGGGTATCTGTCGGCCATAAGTGTCGCTCAATTTCCCATACTATGCACATTCAAAGCAATTAGCAAAATTGAACTTTCAGGGCATCCTCTATTTTCCCGGAGATTAATTACCACTGGTAGAGCCACACAATAACCCAAATTGTATCCTGCAAGCACCCAGGGGCTGTCCCCTAACTGCTTGAAATGCGAGGCAATGGTCTGGTATGTTACCAATACCATAGACTCGTCGGCACCGGCAAGGAAAACACCTATTTAGCGTCAGCATTCACATTTCGTTACTCCAAGGGAAAACGACCCGGGAAGCAATACCAAGTAAGGCCCCAATGATGCCGAGCAACCTCTTCCATGACAACCCGGCGTCTGCGGGCTTACTGTCATTTTTTGGACGTTCCCTGACGCCCTCCTCCCGTGGGAGTAAGCTGGTCGTCTCTGTAGGTCCAGCTGTCATACTGAATACCGCTATATCCAAGTATGAATTGAAACTACTCTGGGCAAAACGCCTGGGAGATTTCGGCCACCCACGAGGAGGCCCCAAGCCATTGATAAATAATGGAAAGTCTCAGGAGCAAAAGCAAATAGAACAACCGGATCCATTAATGCATGTTGCACCACCATTTTCACTCCTCGTCGATCGTATAACGAGGCTTTCACCTATCAGCTCATTGGTATCTAGCGGAGCGCTGGATTCTTGTTGCTCGGGTGGCGTTGCCGGCTGGGCTTTAAACATTGGACCCAATTCTTTTCCTAGCCAACTGCTTCCAATTGGACTAGCTAGCTAACCTGCTGGCTGGGGTACCCCTATATACAGGACATACTATTGTGCAATCCTCCATGAATTTGGTAGAACCCTCCCCGGGGTCAACCGGCTAAACGGTACGGAGTCCTTCGATGGGTCTTCACCATCTTCCACAGATTACGGGGTATGGAGTACTTCATGCCCTGCTCTTCGAGATGAGATACGGAGTAAACTAAAAGTCCTATCGTTAGCCTATTCGGAGCTTTCTGCATGCACCATCTTTATCCCAAATAGCTAGTTAAGCGCACTGGCCGCATTTCACGCCTCCCTGCTAAACGAATGGGTTTGACAGCTGACATGAGTTGATTGCCAGCGGTGAAGGCGCGCCCCTCGGCATAGTGAGGATATCTCGTATCTTAACAATGGAGCCCTTGTAAATTCCACAGCTCACATTATTGCTGTACGCGTCCGGCGGCTGCTTTGCCCATTATACCACCGTCCTGTAATAAAGGGAATATAAGAACGGGAGAAGATGAAAATAACGAATCTGAGACTCGCATTTCGATAAGAAACTCGAAAATAGTCTCGGACCATGGGAAAGACCGATGTGCAGTCCCACACATATTAGCCATGCATACATCATGTCTCAACCTGGTGCACAGAGTACGAGTGTTGACATGAAGAAACCAGTCACGCACGTCTGGTTATGCTTCAAACTCCACCCTAGCTCCCTAGACGGCACGCAGGACATCAAAATTTTCTTCCACTCATGGTAACATTGCCAGCGAATTATGTGCAAGGTGACCCCCCAGCCATTGCATGGGTTTACGTCAATGGAACAAGGGCGCGAGGGAGCTGGGTCTAGACATTGGCTGAAGCTGAATTTACTGCGCTTGTTCTCTCCTTTTTTTAAAGTTGAGTAAGCGCTCAATTGAATTTTCGCCTCCACCGCAAATCTGTCGTGGAAAGAAAAATTGGACGCCTCACGCGACCTGGTTGGTGTTGTGATATGCAGGTTATGCATAAGAGCTGGTTGTAAACAGGCCCTGGACTCCTGCATAATTAGCCAACCAGCTTCTCCCACTGGTGAAGCCCGCAAGCGAGTGAATCGGCTTTCATTGGCCATGCGCATCCTTCAGACCATCAGAGGCAACGTCAGTCGAATAGTTAGGGGATCCCCGTTAGGTTTTCCGTGTGGACTCCTGCTCTTCCGTCCAGAACCTTGTTCTGGTCCGAGCTAGGCTAGTCAATGGTATTGGCGTCGATATTTCTCCATGGTTGAGCCGTCACATATGCTTGTGGCTTTTTAGCTCCATGCAGCCACGAAGATGATATCGCCGTTGATCTCAAGCCATCCTGCCGGTTCCTAATTTTCAGGGTCGAGAAATTCAATCCCAGCTGCTCGAGGAGCAACTTGTCAGACATACGTAATCCCACAATAGGATACAGACTGGTTGATCCGTCCCTTTGAGTCGAACAGCGCCTGCGCAGTGTGTAACTCCCTGCGTGGACAGTTTGTGCCTCGTTCCACGAGTTGCGAAGCTGAATCAGGATATAGGATGGCTGTTATACCACCAATTCGTTTGCTTGATTCTCTTTGTGTCGTTGATGAGAAAATAGCTATCATTGCGGGTGTTGTTGTTGGGTTGTGAGAGCTAAGCAGTCAGCGAAGGTGGTGAGCGCGACGAGAACAAGTCGAAGAGCCGGGATGTGGATCAAAGGGCGTCATCGAGAAATCCTTTTCGCCGACCCCTGGGCGTTCCCACCCCCACCGGATGGTGGTTATCGGGACCGTCGCAGTGGCTTCCATATCGACCTTGCTGTCGTAATATATTTATGGCTGCCAGAACCCTCTAACCATGGTCAAGCATTAATGCCTTTGTCGCCGAACTGTAACACTCATACCTATATCTGTCCTTGTTAAATCCCCTATAATCTCCATGCTCCATTACATAGATCTGGCATCTGTATAACTAACATCACTTCCAAAGAAACAACGAAAATAGCTCCGTGCCATGTCCTAGTAGTGGCAAGAGAAAATATTTACTAGGGATCTTGATCGAGAGATGTTTCGCGAGTCTAGCAACAGAGTACCCCAGGACTGATAGTAACCGAACCGTCAGGGTACAACAGGGACTCCTTACGGAGTATTCCAATCCCAGAAGATTCTTCACGAACTAACAAAGATACTCTTTATTAATAGTGTCAAGCATCTTGTGTCGTATGGAGAATCAATCGGGCAGAGCTACGAATCGCCAACTTTACCCTCCACGCATCTACCAGACAAGTACTCGGTAACAGGCATTGGGCTGTGAGGCAGAGTAACCAAATATATCAGATGGGCACAGCCCTACTAGCAGTATGTATTTTATCTTGGGCTGACGAGATAATTCTCGGGTGGCGAATGAGTATGATACATCACACAAAAGGAGATCGGCGCCAATTTACTGATTGGGATGTTTCTTCGGAAAGGATTGCTGTGTCTTTCTATAAGTGAACAGGCATCAGCACAGAGTAAGTCTCTGAACCAAGATCCAATTTCGTCGACCTACGGAGTACTCCGCGAGTACTGAAATTATAAACAGAATTCCCGGATATAACCTCATGGGCAGTGGTATGCAGGATACTACGTGGTGGAAAGTATATTTTAAACTCCCGGTAGTGTACAGTGGGTATGTAGGAAGCAAATGCAATGCTTCTATGACACATTTCCTTTGAGTACCCTTCTCATTTGCTTCATATGGGCTGCAGATTAAGCTAACTTAGAACTCTAAGTATTAGACCTGGCAGTCTCACTCATTGGATGCCAAGTACGACGTATTTTCAATGGTAAACTTGGATCCATGGATATGGCAGGGTACATAAATTCATACTTAATTATGACCAGAATACCTCGTACTTACAATAGGCCGGGTTTAAAATATGAAGCAAAACGACTCGGTAGAGGAATAGAGGCAGTTTTAGTATATGTATTATATGAGCAATCAGAGACGTAACAAGGCGTGATTAATGGGATAGGAAGAACTAATTGGCGTATCCCTACAAAGTAGAATACACACTCTGTTGAGTCAATTCAACGCCTTTTTCAGCTGCCCGGGCTGAAATTTCTCTCCAGCAAGAGCGAATTGCTTAAATCCAATAAAATATGAGTGCCTGCATCCGCGATATCAAGCTCATTTCTGTCCTACCTCTTTTAATCCCTACTACACCAGCATGTCCTCTGTCTTATATGAACAAATAGTGGGTATGATACAAAAGCAGGCGGGTAACTATTGGCTCTCGGCTTGTGGATCCAGACCCACTCCTGAGCCGCGGGCGATGGACCGAGCTTCTTGGCCAAGTACTTACATAGACATCTTCATCATCGAACATAAGACAGCTACTGATCACTGGCCTACAGAACGGAAGGAACTAAGTGCTCTAAATGTTCTACGAAGGGATAGACGCTGTGTGTTGTGATGTGTGCAGCTACAGGCATACAGATGCTATAAATTGGGAATTACAGGGTTTTTTTTTTTTCTTTCTTTTCTTTTCTTTTTTTTTTTTTTTGATGGAATTTCCATTATTATCCATAGATACGGTGCGCAAAGCATTGAGTATTGACTTGGAAGATTTGTAAACTGTCGCAAGGCGAAGCGTCCACTCGGTCACTAACAAGATAACCTATGGCTAGCATTGGGTACTATGGTCCATTCTTGTTTAACGACGAAGAGCAAGATGCTCTGTAGACCGTGTAGCAGATCCAACGCTACATCATGGCTTGTGGAGTAGAGACAAATTGAGGGCCAAACTGATAAACTAGACAGCCGACGACTTGATGCAGCAGCAGATGACTGCATTCCTGGACGTACAACCTGCATATAGATCATATAAATGTCAATCTAACGTTAAAATAAGGTGCTGAAATTGGCCGCTAGTTCGCATGCCAATACCCCTCGACTTCTGACTTATGAATCATTAGAATCACCCAGGTCATAGCATAGTTGTTGCCTAGGTGTTTACTCGAAGGGTCAAGCATGGAGACTATACTCCAGATGTTACCATAATTATTGGCATCCCAACTGTCAGTAGATTCTTTCCCCATTTCTTCCTCCCGTTTATTAGCCATTGTGTCATAAACTTCTCCAGTGACTCTTTGAGGTTGCCCCGGAGGTCAACATGTTGGCAGAGGTGTGCATAGCATCGCCAACTGCGGGGTTCCCCGTTTCAGTTACCATCCGAAGCCCGTAGACCCTGTTTCATAATTTCCCCAATATTCATAAGCAGCAAGCAGCTAGAAAATCATGCTAGGAGGTCGACCCTAGCATTCTTTGCTTACAACTGCATGGTTCTGAGCAGGCATCGTATGCACTTAGACACCTCGGATTTGATTTCAAGGACCTCCATCGGACATTATCAGTGACCTTGGGTACTTGTCTCAACACCAAGTCAGTATATTAATTCTCACACAATTACTTCATTAGCATGTGATCCACGCAGCTGCTGTCCTAACTGCAGCATGGCCATTGAACAACTTCCCAGCATAAAGCTGTAGATTCTAAGTGAGTTGACCTAGTGAAATATGCATTTCGGTATCATAATTCCCTCATGGAGTGAGAAATAGACGCTGCTTCTAGGTGGAACCAGGGCTTCTGGGTATCACAGTCGAGCAATATCTGGGAAATGGTATTGGTATAGAATTGCGTATTTTGTCTTAGGACGAAATGTGCTCCTTGTTGTTAGTTGTAGTAGTATTGGAATAAATGCCAAAAGACGAGTCGCATTTTTCTTATGGTGCTAAATTGCCTCAAGATGCCATCCGGGTTATTTTAATAACCTAGGATACTTGAGTAAATCAATATCACCTATGGCTTAACAATGGCTCTCAGATCCTCTTCAAAAGCTTGTCTGATCAATGTCAAGGGCAGCCTCCGTGTCGTTTCAAGGTTACTATTGTTAAGGGAGGCAGGGAATCTATGGCAATGAAGGGTTTATTTAGTGTGCGGATCTCTGGCCATGGGAGCGCAGGGGTTGACAAACGCAACCGGTGTTTTAAAACACACGGGGCTTGGACACCCGTTCTTGGGAATAAGAGAAGACGAAGCTGCATCAGACTCATGTAGTATTGTAGAAAAACCACGGATAGGTGTGAGCGAGTTCATTATTCACAGCTGTCTCAATTGGGATCCTGCGACGCATGTCTCACTCTCGTTGTGAATAGAGTTCCTTATATAAGTTGGCTTGGGTATAGTTATTCCCAGGGAGACAATTGAGGGCCTTGTACGCTATCAAAAGTCCGAGGCTATTAACAATTAGAACAGCTTGTCGTTGACTAATTTGGTGTTAGCAATTAAAAGGATTGGACAATGAGCTAGTTGATTACCGTGGTCAATTGATAATCTAACAAGGCAGTCACAGACTAGTATCTTTGTATATGGATTCGTCGTGTCAGAACATTAACACTGACGAAGCCATGACACTCGATAGTGTCTTCATTTCTCTTGACAATTAAAGTTAAGTAATAGTTCATACATTAAATAGAAGGGTATGTGTCTCTTGTTTCAAACAAAAAGGGAACCAACAATAGGAAGAAGCAAAAAAGGGGGGAAGTTGATGTAAAAAGTAAGTAATTGACTTTCTGTTTGGGGGCATGGGCAATAAGACATTATACAGTAGCTGGCCATTTCTTGAAGACAAAAAACAAGAAGGGTGAATAAGAGTGAATGCAGAAGAATTAAATGGCTTAGTAAAGGAAGTGAGGAGAATGTGGTATTTTATACAGCCCACGAAGAGCAGTGGGTATATAGATGGGTACAGTTCTACTCAATCTTTGCGGGAGCGAGAGGTGGGAGTTCCGTGCCAAACACCTTGTCCCAGAACCGGCTGGTGACACCGAATCCGTTCTCGTAGTCGGCAAAATGGTGTTGGAGGTGGTACTTCTTTAGTTCCTTGTAGTAGTACGGGAGACTAGCAGATAGATGTCAGTATAAGTTGATCTGCCGTTAAGCAGATAGGGTTATAGTGATACATACTTTCGGTGATGTAAAAAGTAGTGAGTCAAGTCATAGCAGATATATCCAAATACACCGCCAGAGAAGACCAAAGTGGCAGCATACCAGTTGTAAGAAAAAACGAAGTGCGCGACTTTCCAGTATGGTGTAGCTAGGACCATAAATAGTGTAGGCGGCATGACGAGGCGGTATTTGTCCATGGGGAGATAGTGATGAATGCCATGAAGCAGAAAATGGAGACACAAAGCAACTCGGTTGTCCGGGAGGTAGCTATAACAGGCTTTTTAGTCTAGTGGTACAGAAAGTGAAGGCAGCGGGCAACTTACTCGTCTATATGGAAGAGACACCTATGCATGCCATATTCAATCAAGGACCATAGAAAAAGGCCTCCGATCCAGTATAAGGCACCAGTACCAACTGCAATACCGCTCATGCCCAGGAATGTCCCATACGCAACGCATGGCAGCCACAGAGTTGGCACTACCCACCAGGCAGTCTTGCTGAGCGGTTCTAGAAAGTTTCCGAACAGGGGTGCAGAATCACCACCCATGTAGTGCCGTGGCCGGTGGACTTGGTCAAGGTAAAATTTCTTGGAAAACCCGCCATTCCATAGCTGCATCAACAAGGGTTTGCTAAGATCGAGGAACTTGTGCGTTTTATAGTCAGACACAATGTCAGTTTCAACACTGAGATCTTCCTCACTGGAGAGGCCAGTAGACTTGTAGACAGGTTTTGTAAGTTTAGCGCCTGAGCCGTTCAGAAGACCCTTTGACCCGTTTGCATGTGATTTCTCGAGGAAGCCAACAAGACATTCATCCAAGATCTCATATGCAGCTTCACTATGGTGATGCGAGACGATGTCGCCCATGATCTCATCAACATCTTTGCCGGCATAGTCAAGTATCAAATCTCCGCCACCAGGGTGGTCATCGACAAAGGAGGTGACATCGTAGACCTTCGGGCCGCGCAGGACATAACAAGACTTTGCGGATGTATGCTGCTTGATCTCCTCCGCAGTGAAGATGGGTAACGTTCGGGCGGGCATCATGAAGATATCAAGACGATATGGACAACAAAGCGCGAATAATCAACCGACGAGAGTGAAGAAGGATGCCCGCAACACAAGCTCGAGTTATATTATAATTAGACTGGTTCCGGACGACCCGGAGATTTGAAACCGTCCGTGATGGCCTGATTTCGTCTCAGGGGCCCAGCGTAGGTCGAAAGATTTCGGGTTGAATAATAATGCTCAGACAGCGGGATTCTGCTCAGGAGAGCGAACGTCACCCACTGATGCTGGTTCCCTTCCGCAACGGTCGCTCGTTCGGTCCCTTCTGTCTCCCTAATCGCTCTGTCTGCTGTTCTCTTCTGCTCGTCTGGCCTCGTCCTTCTCAAGCTTCGTCCGTTTGATAATTTTTCCCCTTCGATGTTTCTTTTTTTTTTTTTTTTCCCTCCCTGCCCAAAAGGGTTAGCTTAGTCATCATCCGCCCTCGATATGGAATTCAACATCTGAACCAAACAACGACATCGTCAACGATGACTTTAACCACGACATCATCATCGGCATCAATAATATCATTATGAGAGAGAACGGGAGTGAGAAAGCAGCAGGACGTCGATGGAGCCGATAAGTTGGAAGATCAGGGCTAAGAGAGCAAGAGTGCCGGGCGTATTAGTGCAGTATGACGACGTTCTGATAGGGGGCCAACGGCTCACAGGAACTGCACTCTCAGCTAACCGTACGAGGAGAGAGTGGAAAGCCTGTTGAAGGAAGATCAAGGGTGGCAGCTCCAAAGGTCTTACACGATTGATCGCCCGTCGGGATTATACAGACAGTAGCGGTGTCTCCATAGCCCCAGATGGTACAGTATTGCTCTCCTTTTGCTGCCACTGTGCTCCTTGTTTCGTCTCCCTTGCCCCCTGGGGCTAACTATTTATCCAAGCTTTATGCGGTGTAATATGCATGGCTGTGCATCATCACTGATACAAACAAACAATAGTAGCCGGAAACAGTGCATGACTGGATGATTACAAACGGCGTCTGGTCGTTTCCCTTTCATTCGCGGGCGACCGGCAGAGGGAAGGAAACTGTCGCTCCTCTTGCATATCGAAAAAGCGATGCATCCATCAACCCTGTGCAAGGAAGTATAAATTGAGATATTAAAATAGAGGTCAACATGAGCCAATCTGGTTCCCGATTTTCTTGTTCAACGGCGGTCAATCAGTTGATCTGGCCGGGATGAAAACCGTTGTATCAAAGCAAGATGCTAATTGACTGGCCAGCCTGCGAATATTGAGTCTGCCTCTTTTTTTTTTTATTTTTTCAAACTCTGGTGTACCAAGGAAGCCAGAGCACGGAAATTTTGTATAGGTTGTACGGGCTCGTCTAACCTAGCCAGTTCGGCCATCACCGCTACGGGTTGTCAGTGATGCACGTACGGAGTAAGGAGTACGGCGGACACGCACTCGTTAACTCAACCTGAATTCGTCTTGTTTTTTCCTTATCCTCCTCCAAACTGGAGCTAGGGGTAAGACTAGTCGAAAATTGCAGACAGGCTTCGAGCCGTACGTTATGCTGTCAGTCTTCTTGACTATAGCCGTTTCATCCAGACAAGGCCCAGACTGCCGACATTTTCAGCACCGTCCAAGCCTGGTTATACTCCGTATATAACTGTCCCTTTCTCTTTTTGGGAATAAAGTGCATTTAGGCTGCTAGGTCTCAACTCATCCAAAGCAGGTAGCCTTCTGTATTTACTCCGTACTCCGTACATGTCTGGACGTTTGATGATGGAACCAAAAACCATTATTCGCTCGCCTGCAACAGCAATCTGGGGCAAAGCAAGGGCCGTCAAGTCTTAGCACAAATATGATCTTCCATAGCCTGTCCCATAGGGGCCAATGGTACTGAGATCAGAGCCCCGAGCCAGGCATCCCTGGCCATCAACTTCCCCCCCTCTGCCAACCACCAGCGCTCAGCGATCCAGATTCAAGGCATCCTTCATGGGGCCAATGGCGGATCGGCGTTAACCGAGTGGTTCCAAGTCAAAAAGAAAAGAAAAAAAAAAAAAAAAAAAAAGCGAGTGAACCAAAAGGAAAGATTGTCAGATCAGCACGGAGATATATAGCAGTATGTATATATATACGGGACAGTATATAAATATGTACTTGCCTTATTATCTTGGTATTGGGATACGGATAACACACTCTGTACGGAGTAAGGAGTATATTTCAGCAACCGGAGCACCAGAGCGCAAGGCAAAGGCAAACGAAAGAGATAGGAGAACATAAGAAAGAGGAAAAGCCGTGCTTGTCGAAGGCCTCTGAACTGCAATATGCATGTGAACAGCACCCCCAACTGATGCTCCCTGCTCATGATCATTTCCTCCTGCATGTTGACTCCATTTAAAAGGGGGGGGGGGTGATCCTGCTTCTCCCAAACCTCAGCGGCTCCATTGGCTTGATTGTCTGTCTTCTCGCCATTGTCCTTTGCTTTTTCCTCTGGCCCGGTCGCCCAAATGATCTCATCGCTAGCATCAGCCTGGATGGCGTATGGAGTACCTCTAGGCGGGATGCATTTCCAACAAAGTAAGGCCATTACGACCTCCATCGAAAGATGGTCACTATCTATGCATATTGCTGCTGATATTGCTGCTCTCCCAGCTAGCAACCGCATCTCCCGGACGGCTCAGCATCCCGAGTCTATGGGGCTAGCTATGTCCGTACGGAGTACGGAGGAGTACTTAAGGTGAGGGCCAACAAGCTGTGAGTGCCCACTCTTGCATTGATATATAAGAAAGGGATCCTCTCCCCGTCCCACCGCGCCGCTGGCGTATCCATACAACTCTTACATACTCCGTACAACTAACTTCTACATAAGAAGAGAACCACACACCCTTGACCAGCGCAGCCGGGGCGCGTTGCCTGATATGGCGAGAAGCACTTGATATACTGCAGCATCTTGCAGCATGTCCGACTATTTTTGGTCCTCCAAAGCCGGGCTCGGTGCCTAAAAAGGGACAGGCAAGAGGGAAAAAGAAAAGGGAAAAAGAAACAGAGAGAGGGAAAAAGAAAGGTGAGGTTCACGGTAAAAAGCAATACAGGAAAAGAAAAGAAAAGAAGAAAGTATGGTCCACCCTGTTGAACCGGCCAGACAAACAGAGAGACGACAGGACAGGAAGACGGGGCGACTGGGCACATCTACATCCACACACTCTGCGACTCACGGAAGAGCATAGAGAGCACAGGACCATGTAAACGGCCGGCGTTGAAGGCGAGGGGGTTGCTGCAGCACCTTTTCCCTTCATAAGAAGCAAATATAACACGAAATATGAGCCTACGATAAGCTTGAAACAAAGGAGGTCGTGCAACCGCAGCCATTACCAAGGCCCCGGTAGGATATTTTGCGAGCTAAAAGGCATCGTCTGTCTGCCCAAAATTACTCTCTCTTCCATCTCACTCTTCTATTCCGTTTCCTTTTCTCCCTCCTCTTCCACCTCTCCTTTCTCCATACGACTCAGACGGCTACTTCACACAGCTGCATCGCTGGATTCTTACTGAAACTCCGTCGCCAGGACACATAGTCGACTACGGAGTACCCCAGAGAGGGAAACAAAAGGGATCATTCTCACCCCTAGCCGGCCCCCTTACTATATTTATTGCTACGGATATTTTATTCGCCGCTCATCCAGACGTCGACCCATCTGTCGTATTACCTACTAGCTTTTACAAGCGGCGACTTCGATCTGGGATCAACTTGAGCCACTGGCTCGTTTCTCTTCTTTGAACTTTGCTCCTCCTGGTGGGCAGGCGTGAACTAGCTGGGATCCCTACTGCATACGCATCTTAACGCTCTGTTATATCGCCGCCTCAACGAAGTTCTCCAGCAGAATCCCTCAAGGGTGTTGAGAAGAAGGAAGGAGGAAAAAAAAGCCAACCAAGCAAGTTCATCTACGGAACAAAACCAGAGGAAAACAACCAGAATATATTGAAAGCCATACTTGAATGTTCTATCGACGGTATATAGAGGAAGAAGGAGACGTCCTGCACGGCGGTGGCCCCGATATTCCAGACATGCCCGCCATGGACCCTGCTGCCAGTTCTTCGTCGAGGACGTGTCCGAAGACAAACACACTCACAACCTATCTCCGATTATTACGACAATGCAAGCCAACACTTCCCTATGGCGAGCTCGTTTGCGTCTCTGCGTCCCCGAACATCAGCACGATGAGTTCGCTGCTACGCCTCGCTCGAACTGTTGGGCCTTACATCGGTGTGTTACAGGTCCACGCCGATATCATTGACGACTGGTCGCTGGAAGGCGTATGCAAACTGGCCCGTCTCGCAAAGAAACATGCGTTTATCATCTGGGAAGGTGGACGGGTATTGAACACTCATCAGCGGCTGAGCAACCGAATTCTCACCCCCGATGAGGTGTCGCGAGATATAGATATGTCAAGGAAACGGTACACAAAGGGTGTTGTGAGCGTCGCCGCATGGGCCGGATTAGCGAGCACATGGATGATCGATTCACCTCAGCAAGGGAACGGGGCAGATCGGTTGATTCCAACTCTTCGCCGCGCCGCAAAAGAGACCGTCGCCTTTATGACGAAGTCTGTTCGTACAGAGATCAGCAGCAGCGGTGGAAGCATGTCTTCGAACGAAGTCACAGATGAGACGGAGCATGAGTATACAATGGAACTCGACGAGGCTCTCCGAGTTTCTGCCAGTGATGGGCTATCTGTCTCGCAGTCTCCACGAAAAGCATCAGTTATATCACTCACCCAGACCATCACCCAAAGCACAGAGCCTTCCACTCCCTCTGCCATTGAAGTCGATGATCATCCCTTGTCGGAAGCAGAGGATGAGCTAGCGGAAGAGGACGAGCGAGTTCCGCCTGCCGCATCTCTGCCAGAGCCCCCTCTCCTCTCACGTGGCCTCATCATCTCTGCTCCTCGGGACGACGATGAACGATTCACACTTGAATACCGGGTAGCAGCATTCGAAAGCGCCAAAGCCAACGCAGATTTCGTCGTAGGTTTCTTCACTGATGAACCATGGATAGAAATCTGTACTCGCTCTCTCTGCTCCGAGGCTGCAGCTGAGCTATCGGCAACAATTGCCGCCCGCACGAGAAACCCAGACGATGAGAATGAACACCCCTTCAAGGAAGAGAGCGAGTCCACAGTTGACGAAGAACGACGAACGTTTCTGATGTTTAACCCACTAGAAACCGACCACCTTACACGTTTCACAAGGGAAAACGATGACGGCTTTGGCCAGTCCTCTACTACTCCTGCCCCCGCTACAAATGGTGCCCCCCTTCAGAGCCCTCGTCTAGATATAAATACAGCTACCATGAACAACTCTCGTTCTAGGCGAGAATCACAACAGATCTCGGGGCTACAGCAGTTAATTGCTAGTGCCGTTGCAATCAGGAATTCACGAGTAAGCCCTGAGGAAGGACTTTCACCTGGTGTTCGGGCACGATACGGTGGATTTGACATGATGTTCGTTCCAGTTATCACTATGAACGTATGAGCGGTTTTTTACCTCTTTCCCCCCTTTCTTTCTATCCGTTACTAGCATTTAATTTTAGCCACATTGGATTATTTATGTGTGTTGGTTCGAGCATTCATCCTTCAGGTGCCCCTTTACCTCATTATTCTCCATTCTTTTTTGGGTCTGGTTAACTTCTATCTGCGTTATATCTTCGTTCTATCAGCAAATGCCTTATAGCTCCGCTGCGTCCATTTTAGCATGCTAAACAAAGCACAGGTATCGGTGCATTTGATTTTAGTTAGCCGTGTATTCTCCTTAATATTGTGTTTCATTATTCGTCTCTTGTCTCTTCCTCTCCTTCCGCCACTCCAAACCGCGGAACTAGTATCCATTAGTATACTACCGTCGTCCGAACCCTTATATGATACATTATTACGCCATGTTACAGAGTATGCAGTAGTAGAAAGGGTGCCATTGGCAATCCAGCTGTGTATACACGGGAAGCTATCTAACATACATTTAACAGTGAACTGGGATTTTGGACATGTCAGTCAATAATATCATCTTTGAGCAGTCATTTTTGACATGCTAAAACACATCTTAAACACAGGGTATCGATCTGAGGCCGAAAGGCGAGACTTTCCACACGGAACAAAAGGCCAAGCTCATCTTACTCACTGCAGCACTCTAGACACTCCGACTCCATTGGGCCCTGGCGTTTTAATCTCGCCCAGCCCATACCAGACGATGGTCGCTATGCCCAATGCTGCAGCGATGGTGCTAAACACCAACGCTACGATACCCTTGGGGGTAAAGCCAGCAGGTAGTGGCGGGGCTGGCGGTCCGTTCATATTAGATACATCCAAGAAATCGGTTGTGTTACCTCCCGCATTACCACGGTATGGGGTCTGCGTCGACTGGCAGATATCGATGTGACCCGCCGGTAAAGCCTTTATCCCGGCCTTTCGTTGGTCTTGAAGGGCCAGCGGTGCTTCCACTATTGTAGCTACCAGCCCGCTATCCATATGCCACTCGATATGGCAATGGAACAGCCAGGCCCCAGGATTGTCGGCACGGAATCTCATTACTATGTTGCCATTGGGATTGGCAAGGACTGTATCCCGCCTCATGGGTACTCGGGGGAAGTCGGCCATTTGTTCCGCAGTGTATGGTCCTTCTTCTTCTTCAGAGCGGTGGACCAACTGAAAGTTATGTCCGTGGAGATGGAACGGATGCTTCCCCGGATCGTTATTGTTAAGGATGATCTCGACCACTTCATTGTGCTCTAGAACGAAGGGGTTCGTGCTTTCACCATATATCACTGGGTTCATCGCCACGTCCCTCGGAGCATCAAGAGCGGTATATAATGTTGGCACCTTTGGGCTAACATACGTGATGTTGTTGAACCAAGCACTATTGAAGCCGTGTGAGTGCACGTCGCAGCTTCTACGAAGAGATATTACAATAAACTTACTAGTTTGCTCCATCCCCCAAATTATCCATCTTCAGGTCAAGAGTGATGCTGTGATCAACATGATCAAACAGTTCCATTGAGTCACTAGGTTTGAGAAGAAAATCATCCAGAGGTTCGAATTCGTCGATGGTTTTGGGCACTGGAAGTGGCTTTTTATCGTCGTAGACGAGCCATGAAGTCACGTTTGGATTTAGGTCATCAGGGATATTGTCGAAGAGGTCCTATATATATGCCGTTAACTAACTGTTCCACCGAAGGAATGAGAAAAATAACTATCCAGAAGTACTCACAGTATCCATGCTACCGACCATGGCAAAGTTGTCTGTTGTCTCATTCTTTGTGGTCACAAGAACTCCATATCGCTGGGCGGCAGTAAGATAGAGCATGTCCGTTTCATATTCCTCGGTCCAAACTCCGTCAACCTCAATAACACGCATCGAATGGCCCTCAATCCACAGATAAAGTGCCGCCAGCGCTGCCACATTGATGGTCCGGATGAAATATGTCGTATTTGGCTTCACGGCAATAGTCAAATTTTGGGTATCGGACATCAACGCCGACTGAGGCACTGGCTCGGCACCCGTGGGATTGGCAAAGCTGATGAAATGCTTGATTAACGTGGGCATTTGCTCGTGATACCAGTCCGAAAGGGTGAGGACAATCTCTTCATCCCATTTTCCAGCATGCGGAGACTCTGGATCCTCAATTATAAGGGGGCCTCGTAACCCATCTGGATATTGCCCCTGGCCATGGGAATGGTACCAATATGTACCTGGCTGCTCCGTCTGTATCTAGAGTTAGAGTAGGGCCCAACTAAGTAAGAAGAGCAGGAAATACCGTGAAATTATAGGTGAAAGAACCGCCAGGGGGTATCCTGCATTGATTAACGCCTACAGCGCCATCCATTTCCCCAGTCCCATTCATGAACAGCCCGTGGAAATGAAGGGAGGTGGACTGGTTCCCCAGCTGGTTGTTGGTATTGATAATGACCCGATCACCAACTTTGGATCTGATTTCTGGAAGGGGCCATTTTCCATTGATTCCAATTGTTGGCCGGTCAAATTGACCATCTGGATTTTTCAACACCCAAGTAATATTAAAGTCATATGTGATTGTGGCAGCATGTGCAAAGCATGAAAGCAAGGAAGCACATAGGCTGAGGCAGTACCACACTAAAGGGGCCATAATACGATTGACAGTGTACTCCTTTGGCAAGACGAGGTTTGATGGTATCTAGAGCATGCCCCTGGGAGATGGTAGTGGGAAAGGTATGCCAGGCGGGACAGGATGAACACGGGGGTTGAGGCAATAAAACATAAACCTCCCTTGGGAAGAGTAGGATCCTTCCAGGACAAAGACGAATGTGTGATGGCAAGGTGACCACTAAAAAAAAAAAAAAAGAAAGAAAAGAAAAGAAAGAAAGAAAGAAAGATAGCAAGGCCTTCTACGATCGAAGTAGATCTGATAAGATGGAATGGCACCTTGTTAACTAATCTTATCAATCGCCGAGGTGGGTGCCACAACGACCTTTCTCGGAAATGTCTCCTCTTGTCGAGCCTACCTTGGGTATCGTGTTAATATAGCAAATCCGAACGGCACAGCTGGCTGTCGGCTAACTCGCGATATGAGTCGAATGCAACTTTCGATTGGTTTTGGCCGGCTGAGGGTGCCGCATTCCGTCCACCCTGCATCATGCCACAATTTAAGTTCTCGCTTCAGCGCAAAACTTTGCTCGAAAAGGGGGTCGCTTCTTATTAGACCTGGGTCTTCAGATAACTATCAGAGTGGTATAACTGGAACCCGTTGGTCCCCTTGGACCGATGTTGACCCATGTCCCACTCCCAGCAGCAAACTAGAACCTCCTTTCTGTAGTAATTAGTTGTTATATAACTGTTCCCTGGAAACAGGGGGGGGCTCGCGCTGAGTGGGCCGGGGAAACCGAGCTGATGCTTGACAAAGCTTCTCGCCCGACCGACGTCTCGTGCTCTTTCTGGCTAGGATTGGCAAAGGTGGATGCGTTGGCCGGTCCAGCATCGAAGTCCACTGGAGCAACATCTAATACTCAGTGTAGCAAAGCCGGCAGCGAAGGGCGTCAAAATGCGATACAGTAAATCAGCGTGGCGCTAGTAGTATATGTCTGGCTTCCTGGATGGACAGCTCCTCCATGGACAGACGGCCCCATGGACGCTCCGCAGATAGTCAGACTTCTGTGACACCAAACTTACCTTGTTAGCCGGGCGTTGCCTGGTTTAGAAAATACAGAATTCTCTGCTGCTGCCGTTTTGTCCCGAGATGGCTAACTTAAAAAGTTATGTTTGGCATCGCTTAGACTTTCTTTATCTGATCCGCTGGATCCCAATGGGAGCCAGAACGAAAGATCCGGTTGTCTTATCTGATGGAGCCGCCGCCCTATCTCCGGCCTGCGTCTCATTGCTTCGTATATGAAGAGAGGGGAGAGGCTCTTTTTAAGTCCATATCAACGAGCCGTCCGCAGGTACTCCGTATAACTTCACACTCTGGTGTCTGCGAGGGTTTGGCTGCACAATCGAGTCGCGATGGTCAATGTATTTTATGTTCCAGGTATGGCCTCCCTCGATTTTCTGTGTCCACCAGCTAGTTAACGAGATGTTCGGAAAGTGTTCTTCATCGTGTTTCGAGAAACACTGGAAACAAGCATTATTGTTTCCATTTTGCTCGCCTTTCTCAAGAACCAGCTTGGCCCTGAACACGATGTCCAAGTCTACAAAAAGCTGAGGAAGCAGGTCAGTGTCAATACTCGAAATGTGCCATGCGACATGAGTAACTCATATATACCCTGATTCCAGGTCTGGATAGGGACTCTCTTGGGCCTAGTAATCTGCATTATCATCGGATGCGCTCTGATCGGCGTATTCTACTCCCTGGGCAAGAATGAATGGGAAAAGGCAGAAGCCCTCTGGGAAGGTGTTTTTGCCCTGGTTGCCTCTATAATCATCACTTTGATGGGGGCCGCCTTACTTCGTGTTTCAAAGCTCCAGGCAAAGTGGCGCGTCAAGTTGGCAAAGGCTTTGGAAGCCAAGGAAGATGATAGTCGACGGAAAACACTCTGGGGAAGGTTCAAGATCTGGTGCGAAAAATACGCCATGTTCGTGTTGCCTTTCATCACCGTGCTGCGCGAAGGCCTAGAAGCGGTGGTATTCATCGGAGGTGTCAGTTTGGGCACTACAGCGTCAGCAATCCCAATACCCACCGTCGTCGGACTGGCTGCAGGTGCTGCGGTTGGATATATGATCTACAAGTACGTTTGTGAGATGGCCCGTTGCCTCTGAATTGAACTTGTCCACTAACGTATCCTTTCAGAGGAGGAAACTTTGTGCCCATCCAAATATTCCTCATTGTGTCGACCTGCTTTTTGTACCTAGTTGCAGGAGGACTGTTCTCTCGAAGTGTGGGGTTCTTCGAACAGTATAAGGTAGGACGCTAATGCAGACCATCTCCTAAGGTCGCGGTAATGAATGCTAACTCAACCAGTGGAATATGGTCGTAGGAGGCGATGCGGCTGAAACAGGAGTAGGTCCCGGGTCGTATGACATTCGATCCAGCGTTTGGCATGTCAACGTATGTTCTCAATTCCTCCAAGACAAGGTTCCTTCGATATTGGCATTGACGGCTAATTTGGTTATCTGATTTGTAGTGCTGCAGCCCTGAGTTGAATGGGGGTGGTGGCTGGGGTATCTTCAATGCTCTTCTCGGATGGACTAATTCTGCATCCCTGGGTACAGTATTGTCGTATAACTTCTATTGGATTGCAGTTATCATTGGATTTCTTTCCATGATATATTATGAGAAGAGAGGTAGGTGGCCGTTTCAGAAAGGCAGCGCAAAGCGCGACCTCTCTATCTCCGACAACTCGAGCACCGAGCATCCTACTGTAGGGAAGGGCCCGTAAACTTTTCCGCAGGTTGTCAAAGTTGTCTGATTTAAAAAGCCCCGGAAGCAATGGGATGGTTATTGTTGGATGCTTCCGCTGATATCTGTGGCATTCTATCCTTTCCCGTTGCCTTCTAGTATTCAATTTTGTTGATCTGATAAGATTAAAAACCGAGTCTATTAATAAGCAATACTAAACCTTATTTTGCTTCTTCTTTTTCTCGTCGTTAAGAGAAGAAACAGACAAAAAAGGACAAAGCAAGAGTAAGAAAAAAGGGGAGACAATATACCAGATTTCAATGCTGCTTCTTATCAGCCTACCACGGGTTATATGCAACTTTTCCTATACATAATATACCCGTTGTAATACACTCAAAAGCTTTCTCCACATCGTGCCCCATTCCTGCTTTTATGATCTTTCCAGACCTTCTTGTCGTCAAAGATCTAGCTCTGCTCAGGAGTCTAGAATCTAGGCTATATATACAAGTGATGAAGCCTATAGTTGTGGACTGTTCATAATGATTGAAGAAGATTTCCCACCCTTACCATCTCCTGTTGCGACAGCTCGAGAAACGGACAGAGCCGGTACCATGTTTTTTCCGCTGACTGACGTTCCTGCCGCTGCAGCACCACCGGTCATTACTATCCATAAGGACGGGGATCTGGTTATTATTTGTGAAACTGCGCCTCATAATTCATTACCTGAGCCAACAAGGCATATGTTTCGAATCTCTAGCCTGGAAATCACGAGAGCTAGCGCATATTTCAAGGCCCTGTTAGACCCAGCAAAATTCCAGGAAGGCCGATCGCTTCTACGGAGCCATGAACAAATGGAAGCTCAATACGGGTCAAGAAAATTGGCTTTAAAGGACATGACAGTAGGCGAGCTGCTCCATATCAAAATCGAGCTTCCCCCGTTGTCGACCAAAATCAACCTACGGGAGACTTTGGCATTGTATTTTGAGCTTCTATGCTTCCGCCTGCCGTTCACCCTAGACCCCAATGGGCTCAAGAGGTTTGCCGTTAACACTATTACTACACTGGCTAGTGTGCTCGTTCTTTCGGATAGGTTTCTCTCAAATAATACCATAAGAAATTCTTTCGAATTGCTTTCACAGGGACGTTTAGGACCATTCAGCTATTCAAAAATAATAGATAGGCTACAGCGTTTTGAAAGTGAAGATGAAGAATGTATCAGGGAGGGAATCTTCTTAGCACACTTCCTGAAAGAGCCATTAGCCTTCTCCAGCCTGACGCAGTCGCTAATTCTTCACGGCTCTGTGAACTGGATGGCAGAAAAGCCCGGTGGCACGTCTGGACTTGACAAACCACTATGGTGGCACTTACCAGGAGGCATAGAAGGTAAGGCATATTGACACCATCCTTTTTTCTTTTCTTTACCTGCTGATAGTGGCTAATACGTTCATTTTTAGAAGAACTCCAATTTCGGCATGACGCTATAATCGACACCATAAGTGAGATACAGAATCATTTTCTTGCCGCATATGGAGCAGTTAATCCATATCAAGCACTACAACATTCTCTCCCTGATCAGTCGAAGAGACAATTACAGTGCCGCCGTGCGTTGGAAACCTCCGAAGCATGCGATTCTTTCCAATTGGGCGAGATGATCCGTTATTTTACCAGCCAATCCAAAACACTCTTCCTGGAATCAGGGCTATACTCGGAGTCAGACCCAGAAAACTGTGGAGATGCACATAAAGACTCACAAGCTTCACACTATGCCCAAGAATACGGGAAGAAGAACGCAGAAAGTTCCACTGGTAAAAACCAGGCGGCAATGAACGCAGCCGAAATGGCTAACATCAATACCATACTTTCCTACCTGAGGTGCTACCCGGAACGTCAGATGGATTCTTACCATCTAGGATGTGGACTTCGCCGTCGGCTTCTTCCTATTCTAGATTATATCGGTAAATTATGTAGCATGGGCAAACCATCCAAGACACCACGCTTTGGGGATATTGGCCTATGCAAAAGGCACAACCTTTTTGGTAATGGTGGCCCTGATTCATGGAGTAACAATAAATTCCGGGAAGGGATGTCTGTCGTCGCAAGCGCTCACTCACCAGTTTCCGTTAGATTTCACGGTCTAGACGTATCGGTCGCCTTTAGAAAGCCTTTTTTTAAGTCTCGGCAGACCGTTTGGTGCCACTGTGAACGACTCACAATAGAAGCAAGGGGATTCTTTACAGCTAAGAATCGGCGTTGGGAATGCTAGATTGGAAACATCATGGCGACTCTTGGTGAACCTCCCATAGGCTGAATACACGAGTCTTGCAGTACTCTTTGCCATGTTGCTCAACTGTAACTGTTTGACAAGACCTGTATCTTTTTTTTTTCTAGGATGATAACATGAAAGACATAAATAATTGTGCATATCAGATAACATTACTCCAAGCTACTCAAGCAATTGTACGCAACAAGCTCGATAGTAGAATGGAAGGTGTGTGGGAATGGAGGCAGTTTATATTAAACTAGAACACTGAACCAAATCTCATTCACTCAATGGTATAGCCGTCGGCAACGCACTTGACATCCTGAGTGAAACCCACTGATTCACCCTCCATATCTAATAACGACACAGAACGAACGTCGACATCCGCAAATGATGTTGACTTGGTAAACTGGACATTCATAGGGAAGAACTCGTTCTCGTCACTCTCGGGGTCAGACGACTCGAACTCAAAACTGCCAGAAGAATTAGATGTATCGACGTGTCCAATGTTCCAGTCCAGGGTGTCGCCTGTTACTTCGTAATTGGAGTCAAAGCTGGTGATAGTTGGCTCTACTGTCTGGAACGGAATGGTGACGGCGACATCCTGCAAGCTATCCGAGCCAGTGAGCTCGTACTCCACTGTAACAGTAGTCGAATCAGAACCCTTATTAACCCACACGGTGAAAGTGATGGGTAGCAGGTCTGTCTCTCCGCTGCTTGCAATACGCCACCGAAGTACACCGATTGCGTTGTTCGCGGGGAACCTCTTAGACGTGTCTTTTAGCTGAATAACCTTTTGGTTTGAGAAGAGTGCTTTGTCAACATTTGGGTGAGTGCGATACTGGGCGCCATGCGTTGCATTTGCAGTCAAGTCAAGTTTGGCCTTGGTGAAAGAAGTATCAGAAATGCGCAATTGAAGGTCACCCTTGACCTCGAATGATTTCAAGGCGCCATCTCGGGATAGTTTGGCGGACATTGTCTCGGCAACAGTTATGTGGATTGGATCACGCTCTGCGGATAACGATGCTCTTGTGGACGGGGCTTCTGCCGCAGCAGCAGCGGGACTTGGTGCGACAAGAGGTGCATCCTCAGCTTCGGGACCAAGTTCACCTCGTACTTTCTCGTAGATATCAGTGGTCTTGGACTTCTTTCCGAGTTGCATTCCTTTGCCTCTAGTGACAAGGGGCCTATTGACAGGTAGCATTAGCATTAATTCATCTTTCTTCATCACAAGATAGACAGGATTTCGTACTTCGAAAATGTCTTCTTTTTCTCGGCTTCATATGAGTCCATTGCATCCGGAACGCTTGATCGGACAGGCGGGGTGTATGTAGGGTAGGATGGAGTTCGCGGAGCCATAGCTCTCCCGCTTCGGGCGGCTTCCTTGCGCTGCATCTCAAGTTGCTTCGCCTTGCGTTTTCGTTCTTCTGTTGCCTCCAATTCTTTGTTCTATTCCACTTATTAGCAGCCACGTCACCTATAAAATAGTATTATCTTGAATGGGACGATATCTTCCTACCCTGTCAATTATTTCCTGGACTCGTTCCTCGTGACTCTCCATCTCGAGGAAAGTTTTAATCTGTGACAAAGACAGATTCTCTCGGTATCCCAGAGTAACAATTTCGTCAAACGCACTCAGAAGCTCAAACGCGCTGCGGACGATCTCCCTCTCATCCAAGCTCTTGCAAATGCTAGACACGACCTGGGCAAATATATGTAGACTGTCGATGTCCTGAAGGATATTGGACTGGCGATTTGTGATGAGAACGATGTACAGCTCGTCGAGAGGCTGATAAACAAATCGGACATTATCCTGCTCAACGATCGTGTGCTGTGTGCCCGAATCTGCCAGCTTAGGGAATGAGGCCAGCAATGCCTCTATTCTCGTACGCGGCATCTCTCGAAACTGCCGTGAGAGGACGGCCTTGCCTCCCCTCGTACATATCGAAGCCGCTAGGACAACCTAGGATGCTGTGTCAGTGCTTGCGTAGTGGGTATGAGGGGACGGGACGACGGATATAAGAGCCAAATCGCCTACCATTGCGTCTACCAGTCACACCCAGGAGTAATTTCTTTAAAGGCCAAGCTATTCCTTGGGTAAATTTGCCGTTAACTTCACGAAGTTACTCCTTGCGGATGCTGTCGTTCTGGTGGTAGGTGGTTGTTGTCTTCGGCTTCGTCTGCTTGCGATGCTCAAACTTGTCCTTTAGAGAGGATGATATGGCCCGTGCACGACGTCGCTTATTGTGGCAAAAGGGGAAATTATAATTTGTTCAGCATATTTTTTCGTAACATCAAACAACAGGCTGACGACGACTTAATATCCGCAACAGACACGACAGTCGCGATATATTCATCGTTACTTGTTATTTACAGTTCTTTCTTGATAGTAAAAAGATACGAAATTTCTGGATATTGTGTTTCAAGCCTCGACGATGGTGCAAAGTGCTGTGGTTTGAGCTGTTTCATGAGATAGAGACGACGCGATCGATTCGCTATTCTCACGATGGAGGCGATTATAATTGACGAAAGCATGGAACTGGCGCCTGATACCGCCAGATACTTTGATCCCCACGATGATATCGAGATAGACTTGGATGAGGTGGGCGCTCCGAGCCATGACGATGACGTGATCGTTGACGATGCGTCCATGGCCGGGTCAGATCAGGCAGAGATCATGGGAGGGACACACGAACCCGTCAAGGACGCAGACATGGTGGACGATAGCCATGGAGCTCAACACGTCGAAGATAGTCACAAACAAGCCGAAGAGGATTATCAGTTTGTCGACGGTGCACTAGATATCGACAATCAGTCCTACGAGATGGAGGATGATTATGAGGAGGATATAGATGCCCCGATCCCAGGCACGGGCGTGATGGAACCTGATTTACCCGGTAAAGGTGCCCCTTCGGCTGAAATGGCAGAAGACGGTTATAATGGCATGGAGGATGAGCCCACAGGTATGGTTGAACCAAGTGTTCACCCCGAGGTGACTGAACAGAATGTGTCATCAGTGTCCAAGGAAAGGAGTGAGAATTCTGGTATACTTCCACCAGGGGAGCAGGAACAGGTTCACGAGGTAAACCTTAGTGCCGGTGAACCAGACCAGGGCATTACTTCCGATGAGCAGCCTCAAAATGCGGAACATCTCGAGACTGAAGAGCCAGTCTATGGGGTAAATTCTCCAGGTAAAGAAATAGCTCCGGAGACACTGGATGAGAGTAATAACCGCGTATCAGAGGAGGGCCCCGTTCCAAGAAAGAGTGAAACTGGCGCCCAAGAAAGCGAGGCTTCTATATTACACAATGTTCAAGTCTTGTATCAAGACAGCGAAATCTCCCTATTCCCTCCCAAAGAAGATGATCTATCCGAAACGTATTTCCTCGAGGATGAAGCTTTGGCAGATGAGCCTATTGGAGATTTGCTTAACGCCTGTCGGGTAGTCTTGGGAGACCATATGGGAACGGAAGAAGAGCTCTACATGGAGATAGAGTGCCTTGGGCTCCATCTAACAGAGGTACGGAATACTGTCAAGAATAATATGTATTTGAAAAAATACTAACACTCTTTTTAGGCTGTCCATCCTCCCATATCATTGTCACAGATAGTTCAAGTATACCTTGACCTTTGCCGGAACGATGGGGATACTAACCCTGGCCCTCTTTACATAACACTTGCCACGCAACCGTCTTTTACACAGAACTTCAATACTCTTTCGGAAGCAGCTCAGTCTGGCAAAGGGCTCTCATATGTTGGTAAATGGGACGAGTGCGAGAATCAAATAATGTTTGAAGAGCATGAGAACACAGAAAGCCAGCACGGAGAAGAAGCAGAAAACACAGAGATTGGCGAAAAAGATGAAGAAACTGAAGCTCCGGCACATGAACCGTCAACTCCCCAAAGCCACTCGGAAGTGGACCATGAAGAGGACAACAAAGAGGAGACTTACGTGAATGAAGGTATTGAAATTAATTCAAATGAAACAGAACATCAGGAAGCGCAACCCGTCTCTGCCGAAGTTGCTGAAGTTATAGCAGAAGCTGAGGCCTCCCATGCGGAAGTTAATCAGGCAGAGCAAGAAGACGCTGCCCATGAATCCTTTCCTCCCGATGATGGCGCCCAACAGGTGACAGATCAGAATTTACCTGTTGAACAAGTCGAAGAACTAGGCTGTGAAAACGCGCAAGAAAACGCCCAATCCCCAATTCCCGACAATGAAGGTGTTGAACCTTCAGTACCTAATACTTCTCAAGATACTAACACTGAGCCCACCCATGAAAGTGTCGCAGATGCCCACGAAGATTTTATAGAGATCGACCTGGAAGCATTTGATGAAGAATCACATAACGATGATGACCATGTGAATGATGGCTCTAGCCATCCTTCCCATGAACAGGCTGCCGAACCTAGCACTCCAGAACCAAGTTATAACCCACTCGAGGTTGATGAAGATATCTTCAAAAGTCCCACTGCTGCTGAAGTGGAGTTACCTAATGAATCTCCCGAAGATCAAAAAACTGATCGACTAGACGAGGTTGCCCATCCAACTGAAACATATGATGAGAACCAGATAGAAACTATTCTACCTGAAGGCCGGAACAGTGATGAAGACACAGCTTCTGCGATTCCTGTAGAAGAAGGCCAAGCCCAGGACTTTAACGCAATAGAAGTTGTAGACTCTGCAACTGGAGAGACTCTATTGGAGCCCAACGCCGAGTCTAAAGAGCCAGAGGTGAACGTTGAAGGTGTCACAATTCCTGGTTCGGCAGAGTTGGAAGCTGATTGGCACCACGACGCTCCCGAGAACCGAGATCTGGTTGACCCTGAAGAAGAACCCTACCAGACAGAGTTGCTGGATGGAGAATACCTGGAAGCCCACAATGTGGCAGAGGATGCAGAAGTGACAGCGTCAAAACAAGAGCCCGAATCCAACGGAACAGCCCAAAACGGCACAGATTTCCAGGAGCAGAGCCCAAAAGCTGGCAAGAGGCCTCGTGTGGATGATGAGCCTAGCAGCATGCCAAACACAGTACCGGTGATAAAGAAACCTCGCTCAGAATGACGTGGGGGCTCTCTATCTTGCCTGGCCTAGCTATTATTTTTACCTCTCGTCTTATCAACCCCTGCGATCAGCGATGTAGACCTCCTTAACTAACCTTGTACGATCACACATCCGCCTAGCATGGCGGCACTAACGCATACAGGGCCAGCAAACCTCAACTACCATCGAGTCACTTTATATCTGGATGGCAACAACGCTTAAGGTACGTAATTTTCCCAGATACTAACTATAGCTTCCCCTATTTTACACGCAGCCATTCCCAAGTGTCGTCCTGGGCAACTGGGACGTCCTAAACGGCTGGATGCTACCTTTACAGACCGACCATTACCTGCCTATATTTCCATCGTCATCTTAATGCTGGATGTTGGCCCAAAGAAGAGTATCCGGAACAAAGAGCTCGATACCGCCTGGTACCTTTTGTTGGGGATAGTTCTCGCTCATGCCGGCATGGCCCTTGGTATATGTCCATCCATCTGCCTCCTGGCTTACTGACCTGGTAACCGTTGATTTCATCTACACCTAGCCACAATGGTCCTTTTCCCCTTGCGGCTTTTTTTTGCCTTCTTTCTTTCTCAGCCCTATGCCTTGTCTTTTTATATCCTCGCACTGACCTTACTTGTGGCTTGAAAATGGCGTTCTGCACGGATGGGAAAGGGGGTTTATCATACCTTAAATCTTTGGAAGCTTTTTCTTCTTTTCTTCCTTTTCTTTGCCGGCCATCTGGAACTAGATCTTCCTGTTCTCCTCATGCTCATCACTTTCCCTGTCCCCTCTTGCGTTCTTCCTGCTGGTCTCTGTATGATAGCTGTCTGGTTTACTATCAATTATAATCATCATTTTTCTTTATATTCCACTTCCCGCCCTATACGAACTGCCGCTGCTGTGGAATTACCAGGCCCCCTTGCTGTGTATCTCACAATCTTAATCATATAGATATATATTAATTATGTACGGAGTACCCCCAACCATCCTGGCGCGTGTCTCATCTCCGATCTCTTTACCCCTGAAATATCCCCCGATGTGCCCATGATTGAGCCTCCGGCAACCTCTACTTCCGCACAACTCCCGGCACCTGTGCTCAGCAGGGCTCTTCTGCCTCCTACCAGGCCCTCCTCCCCTGCTCCCTGTCCCTCGAGCGGCTGCCGTCTTCCTTCTCCTCCACCCTCTCTCGCCGTGCCTGACGATCACAGGCTGGGGAGGAACGCGCAGAGTATACTTAGACCTGCTTAGCTAAGCGGCTCACCTGCTTTCATGAAACAACCAAAAAAGAAACCAACGAGCGAAAAAGCTGGCCTGAAGTTCAACCTCAACCGCAAGCCTTCGCCCTTTTGCACCTGGAAAGGAACCCGGAGTTCGCTCGAGCAGGCCGAACAGTCAAGATCCTCGCTGCGTCTCCTCGTCTGGCGCCGTCCTTCTTCGCTCTCTGCCCGTCATCCGCTGCCTTTCTATGGCCATCCTCCACCTCGGTCTCCACGGACCACGACTTACGATCTCGCTGCACTACGGTCGGATCTGACCTGCTAGAGAGCTGTCTGGCCGTTTCTGCGACGTGTCTGCTCGTCTGTTCGCTTGCTCTGCTTTGGCTTGACTAGTTAGCTTGCCTGTTTTCCATTCCTACCTTGCGTCGCTCGTTTACTTTTTTTTTTTCTCTATTGCCGCCACGCTGGTCCTACCCCCGGCGACTCGCCACGGGATAAACGCAAAAGCTTCCCCTGTACCTGCGCCCGAAAGTTGCTGGCCCGATTTTCGACCTGGGGGAGGGATAATATTAATATTGGCGGAGCGATTGCGCTACTTTGACGGTGCGGTTGAACGACCACCTAGCTATTGCGCAGTACCGTGACGAGGAGAGGGGATTACTGTTGAATAGAAGAAATATACCGGCAACATGGTTTCGGACAAGTATGGCGAGCACTTGCAGACTGATGGAGAGGCTGTGGAGTGGGGAGAAGCGTTGTGCTAATGGTTGGCATTAGGTATATCGGGCTATGTCTCGCCATCGTGTCGACAATGGCCATTGGTGAGTTGCTGCCAAATAAATCCTCTTTGCAATGTTGATCTAGTTCTAACCGTATTATTTGAATAGGCACAAGTTTCGTCATTACTAAAAAGGTCGGTGCTAAGTAAAACGACCTCCTGTTATTTGTTTCTAGTGCTTACCGCAGCATTCAGGGTCTAATACAAGCATCCGAACGACATGGCTTTGAAGGAGATGGATTCTCATACTTGAAGAGTCCCATGTGGTGGGGAGGAATAGTTACGTGTTCGTCTTCCTGTTTATACCACTATTTATACGCCAGAGTCTGTACTGAATTTGGCCCTTGCAGTGATTCTCGGAGAGGTTGCGAATTTCGCAGCATATGCCTTCGCTCCCGCGATCTTAGTGACTCCTCTCGGCGCTCTAAGTGTTCTAATAGGGTCAGTTAGCTTTATTGTATATTTGTCCCATCGGCTAACATTCGAGCTAGGGCTGTTCTGGGAGCATATTTCCTAAATGAGCGGCTTGGGGTCCTAGGAAAGCTTGGATGTGCACTTTCACTCCTCGGCTCAGTTATCATTGTCCTTCATGCGCCTCCGGATCAAGAAATCGGAACTATAGATGAGATCTTGCACTATGCGCTTCAGCCAGGTATTTTCAATTATTGACTAGCGCCGCTAGGTTTGCGCAATGCTGACTCTGGCCAATCGCAGGATTCCTTCTTTACTGTACTTTTGTCGCTATTTTCTCTACCGTGATGATATATCGAGTTTCACCGAAATATGGGAAGAAAAACCCTCTTGTCTATATCTCCATCTGCTCCACTGTTGGTTCGGTCTCGGTCATGTCGGTCAAAGCATTCGGAATTGCCGTGAAACTCACTCTGGACGGACATAACCAGTTTACGCATCCGTCAACCTATGTTTTTGCCATCGTGGTTGTCTGCTGTATATTGACGCAGATGAACTACTTCAACAAAGCTCTGAGCCAGTTCTCTACTTCTATGTTTGTGCTTCTGATGTCTACACTGTTCCTTACGACTCGAGCTGTCAATACTGACTTGTGAACGTGATAGTGTAAATCCCCTGTACTATGTCAGCTTTACTACAGCCACCCTATGCGCATCTTTTGTTCTTTTTCGCGGATTTAATACTACAGACAAAGTCGCCACGATATCTCTCCTCTGCGGCTTTCTCGTTATCTTCTCCGGCGTTTATTTGCTCAACCTCTCCCGGACCGATCCTGATGGCCGTGCTACGGGTCGACCAGATGATGAGGATGCTGTCCCAACTGATGGAATCGCAGGTATACAGACCCGTCGATCACTACAAGCACGAAGAAGTATCGATCCGCACCGCCGTAGCTCTTCAAGCATTGCATACTTTAACGGCCCTAGTGACAGGGAAGGGCTTATGCGGTCCTATGACCTGGAGAGCGGTGCAGCCTTTGGTCTAGAGGATCTCACCGAAGAGCCCGACGATGCCAGTGACAACCACAGCCCACGTCAGACAAATGGCACTACAGAGCATCACCCAGATGACCCTATTCCCAATGCGAACGGTACAAAGCCATGAGATAGGGGCTCCCTTTTGCCCGTCTTCCTTTTTGCTACCCTTTTCTTTCTCTTTCTCTCTTCCATGGGCTCTTGATATATCTACTTTTATTTACATACCTCCCAGCACTGGATCGATGCATTACAAATGACAACTTCTGGCGCCACCCTCTTCCCACGATTAACGGGTATTATAATAAGAAAAAAACTGAAAAAAAAAAAAAAAAAAAAAAAGAACCAACATGAAACTGACCACGAAAACAACCAGCAAGACAGGAGATAGTAATGATCCTTTCCCTTGTCCTTTTATTCCCTTCTTGTTTTCCTTTCGTCTCTTCTTTATATTTTTGGCCTTTTTGGATACTCCTGATTTTGATATTTATCCGCGGATAAGTAAAGACTTTACGCCTGTCCATGTATTATTGGGAATGGGTACTCTTGGGAGGTGTTCATATACACGAAGGCCTTTCTCTGGGCGCTTCATCTTCTTTTCTTCCTTCTCGGGGCCCCTCTGGCCGGATCTATCTCTTCCTTATTGTTGCATGTAGACCTGGCGTTTCGGAGTAGGATGTGTATGCTGAAGGGGAATCGATCTGTCCTGTCTGTCATTGTACGCCTTTTGCTCTGTCTATCTCCCTACCTCGTCGACTGTCATGATATTATAGCAAACTCTTGATTATTACTCTATCGTCCTAAGCGCTGAGACTTACCCCTATTTCTTCCGACTAGTTAGTTATATTTACATCTGACAACGATAACTAGGATCAGGTGACTGGATGCGCCGGCGATTCGATGAGCTTGCTTCAATGTCGCCAGCTTTTTGACCCATCGAGGGCCCGCTTCTTCTTCCTCTTCCTCCTTCTCCTCCTCCTCCTCTTCTCCTCGCTCAGGATGGACGCTGTTTCTCTGGCGGTGCCTTTGCGATTGTCTCGAGCACACGCCAGACCCGACAGACAAGATGCCTGGCCTGGCGAGAAAGCTGCTCATCATTGCGGCCGTGGACGGCTTGATCCTCCAGCCGTACCATAACAACACCCGCTCGTCCGCCAATCTAGTACAGGTCGACTACAAGACACACCACATCCACTCGCCGGCGAGGGTCTCAAACTACCAGTACAAGAATGACGCCTGCCTGGAGTCGCATGGCTTGATTGGTTAGTTTGTCTTTTTCTCCTCAGGAGTTGCTTGCACGAGATTAACCAATTGGCTGCTATAGGGTTGCTTTCCGTGGCATCGTACTCGTTCCTAATATCAATTACCCAGCGCCAGCAGGTGGCACATATTCTGGGGAAGCCGATTTTTGTGATAACTGGGGTCTCTATTATCCCTTTATCGGGCCAGGCTGAAGCTTCTAAGGCAATAAGACAGGCACAGCGAGCGTTGGAGAATAGCCCGGACGCCTACGAGCTATCAGATAGCGAGTCGGATAATTCCGAAGATTTCCTGGCTGATGAACACAATAATTTCGATGCTATATCCCCGGAAGGTGACCTATACCCCCCAGTTGACGAGCCTAGCAGCGAAATCAGTATTGCAGAAGATGTTATCAAAAAGCGAGGACGGTATGGCAGATTCACTGCAGAGTGGTTTGCAAGAAAAGGATGGGGAAGTATTGGGTTATCAGATTCCAGGAGGCGGTCTCTTATTTCATCCAGCGATGGTTCTGCTCACGCCGCCGAATCCATGGAGCTAAAGAACCTAGGAGCCGATGCTCTTGATGGGCCGGAATCCAAGGAGACCAGCGAGAACACGTCCGTGGCAGATGCCGGAACCTATGACTTGCTGCCGAAGCTGTTAAAGTACACTAAAATGATGTTTGGATCCCGGAGCTTCTACTTTTCATATGACTATGATATTACTAGACGGTGTGGTCCGGTAGATCCAGCTTCAACACATGTTCCTCTATGTCACCAGGCCAACCCATTGGTAATACATTTCTCCCTGTCTTCTTTACCTCTGCTGCAATTACGTGCAGGCTAACAAGCCTGAATTTCAACAGTACTTTTGGAATAGACACTTGATGAAACCGTTCATGGATAGTGGGCGGCACACATTTACCCTTCCAATAATGCAGGGTTTTATCGGACAGCATGAATTTACTGCCGAAAGAATTATGCCATCCACTCCCGAAGCTGATAGTCAAGTTAATTCTCCTGAAGAAGGCGATGAGAATAGCAAAAAGGCGAGTGAGGATGCTTCGGTTGATGGTAATCGAAATTTTCTTCTTACCCTAATTTCTCGCCGCTCCGTGCTACGTTCAGGAGTTCGTTATCTTCGCCGCGGTGTTGACGATGATGGCAATACTGCAAACTCAGTGGAGACGGAGCAGATACTGTCAAGTCCTTCGTGGAATCCAGCAGAAAAGGTGTACTCCCTCCTTCAGCTACGAGGATCTATACCTCTCTACTTTTCTCAGTCTCCTTATTATTTCAAACCAGTCCCAATCATGCATCACTCCGCTCAAACTAATCTAGTATCCTTTACAAAGCACTTCCATGATGTCCAGAGAAGATATGGCAAGGTCCATGCTGTCTGTCTTGTAGATAAGCATGGCGTGGAAGTGAACATTGCAGAGACGTACGGGCGTTACCTAGAAAGTTTTAACAAGGCCGAGACATCCGAAGATAAGAGAGTCCCATATCAGTGGTTTGACTTTCATGCAGAATGCCGTGGAATGAAGTTTGAGAATGTCAGCCGCCTGGTGGACAGGATGTCGGAGACTCTGGAAGATTTTGGTGACACTGTCCTCCAGAACAATGCTGTTGTTCGCAACCAGTCTGGTGTCATAAGAACCAACTGCATGGACTGCTTGGACCGCACCGGCGTCTCGCAGTGTGCCTTTGGACAGTGGGCCTTGGAGAAGCAACTCAAGGAGGAAGGCCATTATATTGATCTTCAAGGAAGTGCTGCCACCCAGTGGTTTAACATCCTCTGGGCAGATAACGGAGACGCTATCTCAAAGCAATACTCGTCTACTGCCGCACTGAAGGGAGACTATACCAGAACTCGGAAACGTGATTACCGCGGTGCTCTGAATGACCTGGGCCTGACTCTGACGCGGTACTATACCAACATTTTCACAGATTACTTTTCCCAGGCCTGTATCGACTATCTCCTTGGGAACGTGACCACTCGGGTCTTTGATGAATTTGAGACAAATCTTCAGAGCGCAGACCCTGGGATATCCATGGAGAAAGCCCGCCAGAGTGCAATCGAAACCAGCTGCCAGATCGTCATCAGCGACGAGAACGAAGAGTTTATCGGTGGTTGGACGATGCTAAGCCCTCGCCAGCCAAATACCCTGAGAACCCTACCATTTGAACAGACCGTTCTCCTGCTTACAAATGTAGCCGTATACTCATGCCGGTTTGACTGCAACACGGAAAAGGTCACATCCTTTGAACGTATCGACCTAACTTCGATCACCAGCATCAAGTACGGAACGTACATCAGCTCTACATTGACCGACGCCCAGAGGGACGAGAAGAGGAACATGGGCCTGGCAATTGCCTACCGTCCCAGCACTAGCAACTCTCTACGAGTCAACACAACCTCCCTGCACAGCCTTTTTGCTGAGAAGCCAGATCCCGCCCCGGAAAACCAGGATATAATTGACTGGGACCTATCGACTCTCTTCAAGGGCTCAGACCGATCCTCAACCCACTTCCTCGCGTTCAAATTGCCAAACACCTCTTCAGCAGTAGCCAGGGCCCCCAAGACTCCTGAGGTCAGCGAGGCTGACGCAGTGCGCGCCATCTGCGAGGAGATCGAACGCATGGTGAACCGGGCCACCCAATCTCCATCTATCCACGCCGAAAGACCGTCCATCGTCGAGCAGACTCAGATCATTTCATTGGAGAATGCTCGGAGACAGACTGGATACTTTGAGCACCTGTTTTTCGATATAAAGAAGCTCGTCTGGGCTTGATATATAGCTGATTCGCGTTGCCGCCGAATTTCTTCACTTGAGTCCCTGCGCTTTTCTCCCTCCTCTCACTTAATTGCACACCCCGCTCGTCAGCCTCAGCCTCTTGGTTTATACATAATCACCTTAATGCATCTATAATATTTGGCCTTGAGCATCAAAATATATCAGATAGTCCGCCTTCCCTGTGTCTATCAATATATCAGATATAAAAATAATAATAATAATAACACTCGGCCTTTCCTTCCTTGGGAGGCGGGGACTTTTCTGCCGCTTCCCCCCGCCTTTCCCATTTCGTCGTCTTTTTTTTCTGCCCAAAAAAAAAAAAAAAAAAAAAATTGTTAAAAAATAAAAATAAAAATAAAAGTCAAAGTAAATATAAATATACAGAATAACTACAGGAACAAGAACGAGATGAGAGGAAGAGCAGATATAAACCAAGAAGCTTGCTTGAAAACACTGACCCGGCTTTAAGTAACTCCCTGCGAGGGCTAACTAGGATCCCAGGTGAGGTCTTGGCGCGTTGTGTGGTTCTTCTGGCTGCAACAACGCCTTTTATTGCTCGTATACCTTTGTACCTGAAACTAACTGTCTTCTTTGACAGACCCGTTGGTTCCCGCTGCCCGCTGTCTTCGAGTGATTGAGACAAGGAAGATATATTCTCGCCTGGTGCTGGTCTCTCTTTTCCTTCTCGCAGGCATTCTCGACATTGCCTCTCACCCATCTGTCGGCGGGGGGTTGGTTTCTTTCTTTGCATATCACTACTTACTCTCTCGAGCCCGACCTCTCTACTATTTAGATCTCTTATATCTCGAAGGCTCCCATATTCTGCGCAGAGACCCAATATAACTAATTCACGATGGCGTGGCAAGCGGAGGAGAGCACACTGGCGCAGCTGGCGGGGTATCTCAACGACACGTTGAATGCGCGAGATCAAGCAGTTCGCAAAAATGCAGAGCAGGTGAGAAATCCAGCTTTATATTGGATTTGATTTCACGTATATTTGAAATAAGAATGGCAATTTTAACGGCGCTGGCAATACAGATGCTCACGCAAGCTACATCTTCTCCTGACTTTGTCAATTACCTATCATTCCTACTGCGAACTCCCCAACCTCCTGCTGCCGTTGGCTTTGATATCAAGGGATATAATGTTGTTCGAGTGGCTGCTGCTATGAACCTAAAGACAAAGATAAAAGTGGCCTACCAGTCGATACCTCCAGAAGCTTTGGCGTACCTACAAACAGCAAGCCTGGTAGCTCTGGGCGATGAATCTACCCATGTTGCGAACTCCGCAGGTACAATCATGGCAGAAATGATTAAACAGGGAGGGATATTAGGATGGCCAACTTTGCTTGAGGAGTTGGTGTCATTAGTAGGGAATGCCTCTGCTTCAGTTCCAAGTCGTACTCAAGAGGCTGCAATGACTGCCTTGCAAAGAATATGTGAGGACAATCATCGACTTCTACAAAAGGAAATCCAGGGACAGCAACCAATCCATGCCATTTTGCCAAAAATAATGGAGTTCACCGCAAGCTCTGTACCAAAAGTCAGGACCATGGCCTTGTCGACAGTTCACATGTTCATCGCTCACAAATCTCCCGCCCTCATGCAATCCCTGGATACTTTCCTTCAGTGCCTTTTTAAGGTAGCCGAAGATCCTAACACGGATGTTAGGAGGGCCGTTTGCCAGGCCTTTAACCAATTAGCAGAAGTTGCCCCTGAAAAGCTGATCCCCTATATTGACGGGCTCGTCAACTATGTATTGATGCAGGAACATAGCCAGGAAGACCCAGAACTGGTGTTGGATGCTTCAGAATTCTGGATAGTTGCCGGAGAAGAGAAACAGTTGAGGTCGGCGTTGACTCCATACCTGCCAAAGATTATTCCCGTCTTGTTGCAAAATATGGTTTATGACGAAGAAGAGGCCGCTCTAATTGCAGGAAAGGCAGATGACGCTGACCAACAGGACAGACCTGAAGATCTAAAGCCTCAGTTTGCAAAAACAAAGTCTGACCGATTGGCTAGTGCAAAAGAAAGTGAGGATACCTCCAACGGTGAAACGAAGCCAGCGCCTGAATCTGAAGACTCTGATGATGATGATCTAAGTGATGGGGAGATCGAGGATGATCCCGAAGAAGAGTGGACAATAAGAAAAAGCTCTGCCACAGCTCTGGATATCTTCGCAACTGTATACCATCAGCCTGTGTTTGAAATTGTTCTCCCCTATCTTCGAGAGCACTTGAAGAACCCTAGCTGGGCCCATCGTGAAGCCTCAGTACTGGCGCTCGGTGCCATTGCTGATGGTTGTATGCTAACAGTTCAACCTCACCTACCGGAACTCATCCCTTACCTAGTATCACTCCTAACGGACCCAGAGCCAATCGTCAGAATGATCACCTGTTGGTGTCTGGGTAGATACTCAGGGTGGGCTGCACACCTTGAACCCGCTGAAAAGGCCCGTTTCTTTGAGCCGATGATGGAAGGAATGCTCCACTGCATGTTGGATAACAACAAAAAGGTCCAAGAGGCTGCGGCATCTGGCTTCAGAAGCTTGGAAGAGAAGTCTGGACCGCATATCATTCCATACTGCGAACCAATTCTTCGCCAGTTCGTGCTTTGTTTCGACAAGTACAAAGACCGAAACCTGGACGTTCTCTATGACTGTGTACAGACTCTTGCCGAGTGTACTATGTCTGAACTAGCAAAACCCGCACTAGTATCTATCCTTATGCCTTGTCTCATTGGAAGGTGGAACAAAGCCGCAGATGAATCCCGAGAGATATTCCCGCTCCTGGAGTGTCTTGGGTACATAGCTAGCGCTTATGGACATGCCTTCACACCTTTTGCACCACCAATATTCAGCAGATGCACCAAGTTGATATATAACACCATTATGGAGTGCAATGCCTTGGCTAATGGCCAGACAACCGAGGAGCCCAACAAGGATTACTTTATCACTTGCTTGGATCTCCTCTCCGCGATTATCCAAGCTATTGATCGCCAAAAGAGTGAGGAACTTGTGGCAAGCACCCAGCCATCCTTCTTCCAACTTCTTGCCTACTGTCTTCAAGATCCATACTACGACGTAGGTATGTCAGCGTACGCAGTCCTTGGTGACTGTGCAATGGTCCTGTTTGAACAGCTACAGCCATTTCTACCCACCATAATGCCGACACTTCTAAAACAGCTTGACCTGGATCAATTGGCGGATGAGGATTCATCAACCGGGTTAAGCGTGGTGAATAATGCCTGCTGGGCGTGTGGGGAGATATCTATAAATGCAAAATCAGACATGGCCCCTTACGCAGAGAACCTCTATACCTTACTATACGCCATTATGATCAACGAAGAAATTCGTGATTCCGTGACCGAGAATGCAGCTATTGCTCTGGGACGCCTTGGCATAGGGTGTGCTGAGCAATTAGCTCCGCGTCTGGCGCAGTATGCATACACTTTCCTGTTGATCATGGCAAACGTGGAGTTTTCGCGAGAAAAGGTGGGCGCTTTTGCGGGATTTAACCAAGTTCTTAAGCAAAACCCGCAGGCACTGGAATCCTGCCTGCCAGATTATTTCAGTGCTGTCGCATCAATGACCGACAAGCCCTTCCACGCCCCTGAATTTGATGATTTAGACCAGTCTACCAGACAAGTACGTATAGGCCCTTTACTTCCAGAATGCTTGACTTCTCACCTAGGATGATAGAACTAACACGTATCTTATAGGTTCTTCAAGGTTACAAAGAGTTGATCCCTGACTTTGCAGCTTTCATGGGAACCCTGGATCCAAATGTGGCCTGGAGACTTCAGACAGCCTACCAAATATAATTCAGGCTATACAGCCCTCCACTCTGTCTCTTTATTATCTCCTGCATATCCTTACGGCCAATCATGTTATAGGTTATATATCTGTTTTCCCTTTACACTCCTAAAATCATTCCATGCCTCCCTTATTCTCTATCGGCCCTTTTCCCCCCTTATCCACCAAACCGCCTCATGACTCTCCTAGTTCTCCTCCCATTGATATCCCTTTATCCTTAAAAAATGTAGTATCTGAGCCGTCGGCACATAAACCCTTTCTTTCATTTGCTGGGGCGTCAAAAGAAGATGACGGGAAAATCAAGGATAGTAATTGTATGCCCCTTTCTTCAAGTTAAAAGAAAGTAAATAAATAAATAAAACGAATGAATGAATACATAACACAAAATAATCGACTGATCCGGTGGGGGTTGGAGATACGGAATCTATTAGTTAGTGTTCCTTGGAATAATATACACCTCCCTTTGACAAGAAAACGGTGGAACTGTTCTTCCATTATCATCAGTTACTGGTGAAGAGCATTAAGTACCTTGTGTGCTCTAATTTTTGCAAAACAAACATTTATCTAGTACTAAATTCCATCACTAAAAAACTGTTGCGTTCTTGTGATTCATCTCCAACTCAATCCCGCGTATGAAGAGTACGTATCCATTGAACATCTTAATCTATCTTTGAAGAATCCCGGCACGAGTTCTCATTACCTGTTGGTTCTTGAGTTTATTGTGACGTTAAATGCTTCTCAAACCCCCTGTTCTCAACACAGTATCACCCGTGATCGGCCGATTATAAACCCTTTTACGATTAAGGCGGCCCGATCTCCATGTGTCCGAAATGCACTCTTTATGCCATTATTACAAGAAATCTCCGATATATTTTTTCCAAGTACATATGCATGCCCCATAATATCCCTCCCGTCCAGCGTGGCCATTCAAAAAAGGTCCCATCTGTTGAGATTCCATGTCAATGTATCAATACCATCAAGGAACCAGCGCTACCAAACAGGAGTGGATCCTGGGCGTGGAATGTTGGTTGGGCACGAACATCAATCTACTCGGTCTTCTAAGGATATTCGAGGTATATTTTCTTTCCTTGTATTGGCTTCAAAAGCATAGGTTTCGCATGATTTATCGGAACGTAACGTCCAGAGTAGCGTGATCTTAGAATTGAGTCTCGAGGTTATTAGGCATAGGGGTAGAAACCCGAGACAAGTTACCTGGTCTTTTGAGCCCTGCAAAGGGCCGCGAGTCACGGCAGAAACGGCGTCCTGCATTCCACAAATGCATCAAGTTACATGATGACGACGTACGTAGGGAGATGCAACTCGCGGATATCTTAGAAGTGTGCGGACGAATACATGACCGACCTCTGCCGGTGTGAAAAGCTTGTAAACGAAGCATGCGGCCGGGGGCTGATTCTGCCTGTTTGACACACACACATCACACTTCTCTTTTTTGAAAATATTTTCTGGAAGAATAACTAGCCCATGAGATGGGTTATTGGGCGGGTATGTTTGCAATCTCGCTTGGTTGGGAGCATTCGTGGGGTTGACAGAAGGGAGTGCTCAGCCCTGGGTAATTCAGTAGGCAGCTTACCAATTTCCTCTTCGAGAATTGAATCGCCAAGTAACTAACGATTGTAACCATAATACTACCGTGGACGCTCTGCCATCCCGCGGAGAAGACGCGTTGACTCATTAAAACGCCTTGGAAGAGACAAGTATTCTAGAATAAAAAATGCCGGCCGAGGGAGTCAGCAAGGCACGCCACCACTCCGCCACCTGCGTCGCTGGCTTGACTGGCCTAGTTATCTGAGAATCGGACGGAGCTGAACGGTGGTGATATCAAATCGATCCAATTCTGAATGGAAACCTTGGCGTTTGAATGGAGACGGAGACGGGTAAGAAAAAGGAAAGGACGGGAGAGGTTTGGATCGAAGTATGCCATCCACTTGCGCATAGATTCGCATACATATAAGTAAGAACAGTTCATGCCCTCTTTCGAGGACAGCTTGGCCCGCCTATGAATGGGACAAACGATTTAGCGTGAACGTAGATGCAGTCATGACGGTTTGAAACCTTCATGCTTCATGGGTCCTCGCAAGCAGTAGCCTGAAGGTGACTTCGGAAATCAGGTTCTCGTCTGGTCCAAGAAAGGCTTGGAACATTCACCCCAAATTTAGTCGAATAAGTACTCCGTATCATGAACATGTTCAGCTGAGTACAAGCAAAAAGATGCCAAGTCAGTGCCAGTGGTGGGAGGGAGAGGCGACGGCTCAGGCGTTCTCGTCTGATACAGGAGATATTCATAATTCGTCCGAACATTTTATTGGATTGCAAAATACTAATGGTTATGCTTGTTTGTGCCCCGCCACCGCCCTTTGGGATAGGACGATGGATTCGTGCGTAAGAAAGTCGCTACAAAGTTATCAGCACGGAATCGAGAGTTCAACAATAATGCGTTGATCGGGTGGTGTTGCATCCTGTCTTCTCCATACGGAGTATAAATAAAAATATGCTAACAACAGCCCGCAAGGGACGGGCCACACTGCGAATTTACCTCATCTGGCCGACAAGGAAGCCCACTTGGTCGAGAATTAAGCTGAGTTAACTAGCCAGAACAGGCGATTGGGCGAATGTTACCTGTCAGCAAGAAGTCGAGAACCGCGAACGGAGCGCTTCATATGTATGGAGCGGTAAGCATGTGGTGCCGAGGGCCATAACGTTATGTATGTATATTTTATACTCTGTATCTGGAAGACATATTCTGACTCACACATTAGATTTCCTGCAAAATGCCGTTGGTCAAGCATACTTATCACGGAGGTGTTGGAATCTTCAGAGTGGAGGCCGCAGTCTCCAACTCGGCCGACTCACTACACGCTTGGAATCGACATATAGTTCGACCCCACGCGCAAATACCGTAGTAGCTATGATGATGAAAACAGCGGGTTAATATCTGGTAAGATCGAGAATGCCTCGGTATGGCTTAGTATTCCGTGCTGGATAGAGGGGAAAGGAGGCAGGAATGCGGTTCAGGGGTTTCTTACATAAGCGCCTTGCTGCTAAAAATAGACTGTTGCTTGGTCAGCATCGTAGGTGATTGGTCAAGCGGTTCATTGAGGTCAGCGCGGCAATATTTCCGCGCGCTAAACCGCTTTAGTCGCATTTTGGGTGGGGCTTCGGTAAAACCGGCAAGGATCCGCTCGTCCCCCACCCAGTGTTCCGGAACGCGCCAAGCGGCCGATCGCGTGGTCCTGCGCTGGCCCCTTTGGGAAAATTTAACCGATACACACGCCTGCCACGGCGGCATATAGTTTATACCACGACGGGCTAAGTATGTATCCTATATCTTGGTGTGCTTGGATGGACTGGAAGAAGAAACGTTCGCGCAGCATCCGCTCACCCGCGGCGTTATTTTGTTATTTTGGTTTTGTGGTTGCGAGGAGACAAGCTGGGGCACATCATGGCGTTCGCGGATATGACGAGCGCTGCCTTGTCGGCTCGGCTTCTTCTTTGGCCCGGTGCAAATCTCCCCGAGGTCTGTCAGCCAGTTTCATCGTGCCTCTCCTGCATTAGTGGCTGGCCCCCGGATAAGTATTTCTGAGTCGACGTTTGCTTTTTTGGATATATCCAGTCAATTTGGATTGCCGATCGCCTGAAATCGATGAATTGGGTAGTTTCTTTTACCACACAAAAAGCCAAGTCAATCTGCAGGCATTATTGGATGGGATTGGCTGCGAAGCTGGATAGGCTATATGCATGAAGCGTGGTTATGCTCTGTCAAGTTTGGCATCATTGGACAGCCTGCTATCCGCAATATTTCGTTGAAGCTGGTCTCAACTTGTAATACCATGGTCAGGCCCGACTGGGGGATGGGGGTGGTGTCCTGTCCAACGTGGCGATTCAAGTGCTTGGAGACGTACTCCGTACGGGGCAGGTTGAGAGGGCAAAGTATCTGGTGAGGTAGCACAGGTTTCCCCTGGCTGTTACGGTGCGCATCAGTAGCTGTGCAGCTTCGCTTGACAGTCAAGATACCTAGCTAACCGCTGCTTCGTACGGCTGCCATGCGAGGTGGAGACGGGAGGCTCTTCTACCGTGGAGATGTTCTGACGTCCTGGTTCTATTCTTAGCAGCGTGAACTGGTGCCATGAGGTTGTACCACATCTGGAGATGATGGGTGGACATTTGTGTAAGTATATGCATGACAGGAAAGGTACATGAAACACCCGGAGAACGCGGAGATCATTCAAATATATGGCGTAACTCAGGCCACAATCCGCACCAAGAGGCTGAGTGCTTCAGGAGAAATTAAGACAGTAATATTTACCTTCCTTTTCTAGTTTTACTCTCTTCACAAGTCAGCAAATTTTGGGGTTAGGCTGAGCCTTGAGCGAGAGAAGATTTCGTGAGGCTCTGGATGTTGTCTTTGGAAGCAGGCCTCCGCCGGTAAGTCAGTCAGTTAAGGAAAAGGAACGTCAGTGTGCTTGTGGTCAGCCAAGCATATACTTTCGACTTTGTATCGGTGGAAACTCACCCACATTCAAGTAAAAAAAAGGGTGGCTCGGGATGCGGGTGAAGGTTCTTCTGCGGAGGGAGGCTGATGTTAAAAATAAATGAGTGACGCACATGGCATTGGATGGTTGCATCTCAAGAAGCGAGGTTGTAATGTAACTAAAACAATATTCCTGGAAAAGAAGGGCAGACTCATAAGTGCTACCAATAATATAGGGATCATCTCTCGCAAAAATGGCCAAAAAAAGAGGTTGCTGCCTGCTTGACGCTAGTGAGAGTAGATCCAGTATGGCGTATGAAGGAGGAGAAGAGAGAAACGCATGGAATCTCTGACCTTTGAAGAAGTAATAATAATCATAATAATGTGGTGCTTTCGAGTTGTTTTAGCTTCCAACCTTATATGAATGCCTTATGGCCCACACCTTCGCGAGCCTAGCTACTTCGAGCTTTGAGTAGCCCATAACATATCCTGGCCTGAAGAAAGGCAGAACAGGGCTCTCCATCTCCCTTCACTAGCTACCCCTTTCCCCTCATCGAGGTGAAAAATCAGTAAACCATACTGTCCCGATATGAATGAAGAGATCAGCCTTGCTTTTACCTTTTGTGCAGTATACCGTAGCCCGCGTCGCTCATTGCCTTATTCTACCCAGTTGAGAAATTTGGTATGCCAGCAGCCTGCTGCCATAACTGCAATGGTTGCAGTGTGGAGATAAAAATAGTATGGGGATAGCCCCAGACTGTCATAAATAGCACAGTTTCTCATCAACAGTACGGAGTATCACCAACTCCAATTGTCCGCACGAGCGGGAGGGCCACACTATGAGTCCACAGCGCCATGGTATTGGGAGATTTCAGGACCTTCAGGAGGGTCTGGGCTGGCTGATAGGTGGCTTGCCCTGTGCAACGTCAAGTATCAGCTTGCTGAAGTACATTCATCCCCACTGTCCTTAATTCCGCTTCCCTATCATTGGCATTCTGCTTTGATCCCCCCCCACCACAGAGACTTTCTTGGGCGTTTTCTTTCTTTCTTTTCTTTTCCTTTCTTTTTTTTCGTTACTTGGCTCACCTGCATGGTCTGTGTTGATGAAAGAGTTGAAAGAGGAAAGTTTATGTTGGGAAGAACTTCTGTATGTAACACTCTTTTGTCCAGACGGCAAGGCGAAAAACTGTTTGATTCCCCTCAGCCGACCCAGTCGGCTATCAAACCTTCACATGCGCCCTGTACGTGGAGATTTATTGTCAGCCTATCATTATTCCTGCAGCTGGGTTTTGGTCAGCAGCTATCCTTGTTCGATTTCTCGCTAGCACGCTGAAGGGTTGACATACTCGGCGCAGAAGGAAGCAAAATCTTATGGCCCGCTGATAGGTTTATCAGAGGGAGGTATGAAGGCTAACCTGTCTCCCATACGCTTCATATCAATGGAATTGTGTTGATGGAAATCCACGTGTGCGTCACATAGAAATCGACACACGCGATGATGATATACTTACATCGAAACGTGGTATTCCACCTTATCGAAAACGAACAAATGGGAGAGACGATGCTAGAATTTAAGTTAATAACGTGGCTGGGGTTTTCGGGCTGATAGATGAATCGTCACTGGCTGGAATTCAGCTGATCCAGGTCGTGCAAATAAAGAAGCGGGTAGACTGTTGAAATACGAGAGCCTTCCTCAAGGGGAATTTCCCACGAAGGAGGAGAGAAAAGGGGAAAGCCTTCGAAGGAAAAGCTTCTTCCTCGTATATGAAGATCAATCTTGGGGATTGTGCACTCCACAGTCAAAATATGGGAAGAATTATATGCTTAAAAACGTGTGATGTGGGAAAGGTCTGAAAAAGAATGAAGGAGGAATCTTTCACACTTTGCACTTGGTCGAA